ATATGTACAGGTGTATCTAGTTATACATAATTTGGAAAATGATCAAAAAGATTTTAAATAAAACTCTGTTTAGAAAAATGAGTCTGCATGGTTTAAAGATGTTGAATTTATAGGAATAATGCTGCCACAATGCATTGTGTAAGACTATATTAAATATGATAAATGTTCTATTGATTTATGTACCACTTACATGTAAATGTATCAATCTTTATGAAAAAAATATTCAGCTGTTCCATTAATAGGTCTTTTACTGCACATGTAGATTGTATAAGGAAAAAATCGACCCATTATGGACATGATGAACAAGACCTCTACTTGAGGATTATTTTTTAAAGAAAAAAGCTTTTCCATTTTGATGTACAATTGATTCAAGATTCTTAAAAAATACTATAAATACATGTATATATAATGTAGGTATTGGCATAGTGTTCAGTCTACAACAAGTAAAAAAAAATATCCCTAAGTGATTCCCTCGACTTATCAGCAATTAATTTAAATTTACAAGTAAGATCTAATGTAACTTAATCAAACAAACGTAAATCGAATATTATAATTTTAATTGATTACTTATGATTGTTTGGGATGACAGGGAGATGGTAGCCTTTTGTGCCAATGTAGAGGAATGGATGGAGCAAGACAAACGTAATGTTATTGCTATACATTGTAAAGGTGGCAAAGGACGGACAGGCACAATGATCTGTACATGGCTGGTACACTGTGGAATATTTGATGAAGCTCAGGTGAGTGATTATTTAAGAAGAAGAATTTTTATTTGGCAAAACAAGTTAGTTTTAATAGTCATGGAAATTTAAGAATAGGGTTATTTATTTTACATATATCTACTACATGATATTTTACTAAAACAACAATATTAAACCAACTTGCATACCGGTACAGGTTAGTATGCCTTTGCAACAATGTTGGAGGGTTATAGTTACACACTTTTGAGGTTGTTTGTTTGGGTGGGTTAGTACAGTTTGTGCAGAATGGAATTTTTTTGTTTGTTTGATGTGCTTTGCACAGGGAAGCTCTTCTTCACAATGCCATGATTGTTCTACCATATTAGTTTGAAATATATAGGCTACATTGTCATTTCCATGCTTTCAAATGGATGCAGCTTACATGTAGTTATTGCAGTCACTGTGGAAAAAAAAATGAGCTTATACAGTATTAAATTTGATTTTTACTTTGCAAATATCAATGTCTTGTATGTTGAATAAATAAATCTCTTAAACTTACAGGAGAGTTTAGACTACTTTGGAGACAGAAGAACAGATCTTTCTGTGGGTAAAACATTTCAGGGTGTGGAAACACCAAGTCAGGTATTTATATTCAAAATTTTTCACAATTTTAAGAAGAAAAGAAGCATATTTATACCAATTTTAAATGACTTTCTTCCATTTTAGTGGAAAAGATTGTTGCAGCTCATCTCCTGAACTGTTATAAAAATTTGTGTATGAAATGTCTTCTGAACTAAATGTCAAGTTTTGTATTGATTTTGATCTGGATAAAAAATGATATATTTTCAGAGCAGATATGTAGGATATTTTGAGAAAGTAAAAAAAGAATTGGGAGGACAAGTACCACCAGAGAAAAAGAAACGAATTACATCAGTCAAAATAGAAGGATTAGAAGGTCCGAGTTCAGCCAAAATCTATATATTTCATCTGAGTCTCATACATGTATATATTCCTGCTGTATAACCAGAGGACAGACAGACAGAACAGCAGATGAGTAGAAAAACCAATGTATCTGATTTCTTCATTGAGGCTTATCATTAAGTACTCGCGGAATTTTATGTACACAATATTGAATTCTCAACTAAAATGCACCATAGTTCTAAAGTAATCATACATCAAACAAAATAATTTTGCATACCATACACATAAAACAAAGTCACATAGTTACATACCAGGTATATAGTATACCATTATCCACTGGATGTGAGTGGGATAGCTCTTTTATCAAACCCGCGACAGAGAACTATTCCCCGAGGGCTTGCCTACAATGTATACAACTATTATAAAGATTTATCAAACCCTTGACAGGAACCATTTCCCGAGGGCTTGCCCGAGGGGAATGGTTCCTGTCAAGGGTTTGATAAAAGAGCTATCCCACTCACGACCAGTGGATAAACGTTTTATTATACTGATGTATAATATAATTTCTGAGGTTTGAAGGAGTAAGATAATATTCTGCAAGAATAATCTGACATCCTGATGACGTCACAATGCTACTGAAGTCATTATGACATCATCAGTTTAAAGATTTATCGCAGGAAATCAAAATTGGCGGCAACAATTGCATGAAAATTTTCTGAGGGTGGATAGCAAAAACTATACCCCGGGGTATAGCTTTGCTATGCGTGGACTATAAAGGATAGTTTTTTACCTTCTGAACTTTATTTAGGAAACATTTTAACAGAAGTATAATAATCAGCTTTATAAGTGCTAGTGTGTTTAAAAAAAACAAAGAAAAACCAAGTGGGACAGACAGACAGACGTTGAGGAAACCTATAGCCCTCTTTGGTTTCACCATTATTGGACTAATCGAATAAATGTTGATAGCAATGAAGACTAACATAGAACTGTTTGTTTTCAGGTGTGGGAAATGGAGATGGGAGTGACCTCTCCATGGAGATCAGAGTGGATGGATTACTGATCTATGAATGCAGATTTGGAGACAACATGAACTGCCAGGTCTGACATAAGGGTGTATAAAAAGAAATTGTAGCAATCAAAATTTACAAATTAAGGTCTGACGACACGTTCCTCAAGTAATTTTTTTTGTATCTCCTCGTTATAAAGAGTTCCAATAAAACAATCCGGATTTATACCGAAATCGGTTTCAAAAATTATATTTGATTATGTCCCTTTTTGCGCTCTTTTGCAATTGGAGATAAATTTGTAATTTGTTTACAATGGACACACCGCAAAAAATCGCGGTAGAAATGGAAAATTTATTTCTAATCAAATGCTAAGGAAGACAAATGTTTTAGAAGAAAACAAGCAGAGAAATAAAGAAGTTGGCAAAGGTAAAAAATCTTTATTATATGTATATATGAAATAATGAATCGTATTCTGACGATTCTTCCCAGAACAAGACTGTTATCACAAGCACACCAGGTTAGATCATTCCTCATACACTTGTCTATTTGAAGAAATAAATATGCTATATTTGATTTAATAAATTTACCACACAATAAGGACATATTTTCTTACTATATAAACATATTTTGAACAGATGATGTCATTGTGTCTCACCCACAACAAGAAGCAAACGACATGGACGAGCCTGTAGGATTTCATGACTGTATCACAAGCACACCAGGTTAGATCACTCCTCATACACGTATTTATTTGAAGAAATACATATGCTATATTTGATTTAATAAATTTACCACACATTTAGGACACATTTTCATACTATATAAATATTTTGAACAGACGATGTCAGTGTGTCTCACTCACAACAAGAAGCAAACAACGTGGACGAGAATGTACGATTGCATGTACCATACTATCTGGATGAGCATGACTATGCACAGAGAGAAGATGAAGTAGACACTGAATTTATCCTTGTTGATGATGATAGTAGTAAAAGTGATAAACAGATAGAATGGTTCACAGGAAGACGTGTAATAGAATTAGGATATGTTGTGAACAAACTCATTGAGGGCTGTAACTTTTGTAGACATCCCTTGAAATTAACTGATATTTGTGGTGAAGTGAGATATGGCCTTGGTTCATTACTGCGAATAAATTGTAAAAAGTGCAACAAAGTGACTTCTGTTCCAAGTGGAAAGAGACACTCACAATTGGATGACCATGCTAGCAGAGCATTTGATGTAAACACAAAGCTTGCTTTAGGTGTGTATGAGATCTCTATCAAAGGTATAATTTTCACCATATAATCTCATAAAAGGATAAAAGCAAAAATATAATTTACTGTCATATTACTTACATAAGTATTTGTTTTTTGTAGGAATGCTACATGCAGGCATAGGGGAGAAAAAGGTATCCATGCTCTTGAGTGTATTGAATATTCCTCCTCTTTCTCACACAACTTTAAAATGTAAAGAGAGAGAAGCTGGTAAAGCCGTAGAAGACGTTGCAAGGCAAAGTTGTGATTCTGTGGTTACTGCAGAGAGAGAATCTTCTAGGTACACAGCATAAATTAAACCATGATCGCAAAAAGCAATGTATTTTAAAATTAGTATAAAAGCAATGCAAATTTATTTCATAATTTATGATATGTCTAATCCAAGGCATAAAATGAAATTGCAGATAATACTTCAACAACTATATACACTGAATACTGTGCATATACATAAACGGACATACCGTATCCAATAGTATCACACATAAAAATATAAGTAAATTATCATTGAAAATGAGATGTTCAATTGCATTTTTAATGTAATTTTAGGCTGTTGACTCTAGCCAAAGTCAATCTAATAATAAGATTTATCCTGATGATATGTATTTTGTATTGTAGTAATAATGATGAGTTGATGGTGTCATTTGATGGTGGATGGCAGAAAAGGGGATCAGGGCGTTCTTTTTCAAGTTTATCTGGTAAGTCCTATTGAAAGATATGAGATAATGTATTCAAATAATACAAAGTCTATTTTCACATGTTTGACAAAGGAAATACATATAATTTATATTAGTATACCTCTGTTTATTTTTTCTATATAAAAATAAGACGAATAAACATGCTATTTTTTCTAAACAGTCTCTACCGTGAAATAGTTTTTGTGCTATTTGCCCATGGTGAATAGTCCTCAAACTATTCAACAGCAGCATTCCATTTCCCTCCCTTTTCATCTCTGAAAATTTCTGATTTTACATGGATTGTGACGTATATATTATGACATAACAAAAGTAAAGTCAGCATCGGTGTAATAAAACACCTATTTACTGACTACGAGGACAATAGCAAGTTCATCGTCCCCCTCGACAGCAAACTATTTCCCTCGGCTGAGACTCGGGAAATAGTTTGCTGTCTTGGGGGACGATAAACTTGCTATTGTCCTCATAGCCAGTAAAAAGATGTATAATATTACAGTGAAATTCATATGTAAGTTTATATTTCTAGGTCATGCAGCAATGATAGGTAGAGAAACCGGCAAAATAGTAAATTTTGCAACACGCAATGGATACTGCAGAATATGTCATCATGCAGATAAAACAGGGAAGGCTCCATCAACTCACGACTGCCGTAAAAACTGGACGGGGAGTTCCAAAGCTATGGAGCCAGACATGTGCATTGAAATGCTAAAAGATCTAGGCGAAAAGGAGGCTCGTGTTGGAACCATAATCATGGACAATGATACTACCACCATAGCAAGGGCAAGAACTGAGGTAAACCCAGCTTTGAAGAAACAAAGTGACAAAAATCACACACTGAAACAGTTTACGAACAAATTGTATGACTTGAAAAAGTGTAAAAACTATAAGGAACTAAATCCTAAGACAATAAGTCACTTATCAAAGTGCTTCAAATATTGTGTCAGCCAAAATCAACATGACGTACATGGTATGAGGAAAAGCTTGGAGGCCATATCCAAACATGTATTTGGTGATCACAGCGTGTGTGGATCTTGGTGTGGGTATCTTTCATCACCGACAACGTACAAACCCCTTCAGTTGCCATACCACCGCTATCTAGCAGACGAAGGATTGAAAGTTGATCTGACATCCATAGTTGACTTTTACATTTCACAGGCTGATAGATTGGTGGATTTAGGAAGTACCCAGCCCAATGAAAGTTTCAATAATACAGTGGCAAGCAAGACACCTAAATCAACATTCTACTCTGGCTCCGAGAGCAACGACTTTAGAGTAGCTGCAGCGGTTGCACAAAAAAATTTGGGTCATCAATATATATTACAGGTAAATTGGAAAATAATGTTTCTAGAAGGATCATTACTTTTTCATATAAATTCATTGAAATCACTGAAATTATGAATTTTCTTTTCAAATACACTTTCTACATCAAGTTGTGATAATAACCACATTATTGTTTTGTGAAATACTATATTTAGCGATGTTACTTGAAATATTTAGCTTGAAATATGATTACATGTATTAGAAATAGATTGTGAAGCTTTTTTATTTCAGGTAAATGAAAAATTGTTTCTTTCACCTGAGAAAGTGACCAGCAAAATTGCCATGAAAACAGACTTGAAAAGAAAAAAAGACAAAGACAAAGAAGACACAGAAGAGTAAAAGAAAATAAGAGCCTTGAAAAAAGCTGAGAGCAATAAAATTCAAGAATCAGCAGCAGTGAAAGAGGGGATCACATATGAAACTGATGCCGACATCAATAATAATGTAGACAACAGCATTACAGAAATACCCCCTCCTCTCACCAAACCCATCCCAACACCCATAGCAGCTGGGCAGCATACATTTGTATACTTTGACTTAGACACAACAGGTCTTGGTAAATATCATCATACATGCATTTCCATGTAAAAATTGTGCCTGAATCATGATGTGAAGAATTGATGATAAAAATGCATTTGACTTCTAATAATTATTTCCTGTTGTCTTTTTCAGATAAAGATTGTGAAGTAACACAGATTGGAGCTTGTACTGATGATAAAACCTTTTCCCAATATGTCACTCCTCCAACAAAACCAATCTCTGCTTCCGCTACAGCCGTGACTGGACTAGCCATCAGAGACAACATCATGTACAAGAATGGACACCAAGTTCACAGTAAGACAACCGAGGAAGCTTTTCAGTCATTTATTGATTGGATGAGGCAATTTACAAACATTATATTGGTTGCTCACAATGCAGTGTTTGATTCCAGAGTCATTTTGCGTTTATTTCATTCCGCGGGACTGTGTGCCAGTGACTTCTTTATTGGATTTACCGACACGCTGCCATTATGTAGGGAATTCATCCCAGGTAGAAAATCCTACAAGCTGACAGATCTAGCTAAAGACATATGTAGTAGGCATTATGATGCCCATGATGCTCTGTCTGATGCTCAGACCTTACAAGAACTGATGTTATGTGTAAAAGCTTCATCTGATATGATGCTCAAACATAGTTTTACCACTCAGTTTGTTTTTGAAAACAACTCTTTTGCAGATTTGACCAGCAGAAATTTATGTTCTTTACAACATCTTGTAGACAGCAATGTATTGTCAAAATTCACTGCAAACAAAGTTGCATCATCTGGCCTGCATTTTCAGCATCTTTGTCTTGCCCATCAGAGAGATGCAGTAAATGGAATAAAGTATGTATTGTCTGACAAACATGCAACAGGTAAAGTGAGAGTTACTACAAATTCTAGAACAGGGTTTAAACTTAACGCTCGCCCACTCGCAAATTGCGAGTAAAAATTGGTGTGGGCTCATAAAATTTGTAAGTTGTTCGCCCACGTGGCGAATAAAAATTCTGCAGGGGACTGAATTCACTCCCAGTCCCCTTACTGAAAAAACAGACATTTTATGCAGGTTTTTGATTTAAAACTTCAGAAAAATGAAATAAATCACAGCAGTATGGTCCTATTGTTCATAAATATTCTTCATCTTTTCCATTTAAAGTACTACACGATTTGTAAAATTCCCTAAAACGATCGTCTTTTTTTCTAATCCGAATTTCCTCCAACCATCTGTAAACGGTTGATACGTGAGAGATATACAATTTTAATAACTCCCAACTACTCAGTCATATGAATACTAAGTGTTTTCACCTATTTCAGATATGTTGTAGTTAAAATATTTAACCTAGAAAATCTTATTGTGTCAATGTCATTTTATCAGTCGAAGACATGTACCAGGGCTACGTATTTATATACATGTATTACCAAGTTAAAAAAAAAAAGATAGTAAAAATATTTATTGAATACAATTTTATTTCCTTTGATTAAATAATTTTATATGACATCTGATTTTTATAAAGTAAGAACTCCAATTTTAAACAGATGAATTTATATATGTATTTCATTTGTATCTACTTTTTGTCCCAGTATCTATGCTTTTTTAAAAAAAATCACAAAGACTGTGGGCTAACAAATTTAGCAGTGGGCTCCTAAATTTGAAATGTCAGGAGCCCACATGGCTCGTGGTAATTTCAGTTAAGTTTAAACCCTGTAGAATTATTTCTTCTCTTCAACAGTATTTTATGAATTTGAAATGAATTCTTGAATACAACACAATGTACATGTATTGTAAATCAGTCATATTTTCTTATGGTATGTGCATTTATTTATATTTGAATGTTATGACATTTGATTCCCTTATTATATTGAACAGGGATGTGAATAAAAATTGTTTTTGACAACAGCCTATCTTGTCTTTTTCATAAAGAGAGATAACTCAAGGACAGGTTGAAACTCATGAAAAATGATAATTATTTTTCAAATTTCAATAGCCTTATAATATTCCAAATTCAATGAATATTATTTATTCTTATTTTGAAAATGCTTACAATTTAAAATATATATATATGTGTGTACCAAAAATTGTAATTTCAGCAATTCAAGTGATTTTCAATAGGATTATATAGGAAATTCCATCTTCTGGTATCTTGCACAAATGCCTGGTAATGTACCCTAATTTTTTGCTAGCAAGCTTGTCAAAGTAGCAGTAAATCAAAAACAAATTCCTGGAAAAAGTTATATAAAATTGAGGAACGTGTCGTCTGACCTTAAGACATGTTAGTAATAATGGACAGAAATCACAATGGAATTCTTTATTCTAAGAACTGTTGATATATTGAGTATGATACTCCTTTTCAGGTGACAAAATACACAGATACACACAGTGTGGTGGCTAATTTAGAGAACAGTCCTGTTATTGTGGATGATGTGAAAATAAGATTTTTCTCCACAAGTGTGAGTTAACTTTTTTATTTTTAATTTTTTTTCTCTCTTTTTTAGTCCTACTGGTCAGAGACCAGAAGAGCTTATGCGATAGTAATGCGTCCGGTGTCCGTCCGTCCGTCTGTCTGTAAACAATTTTTCAAAAACGCTACTCCTCCTACAATTTTAGTCTGATTTCAATATTACTTGGCACACAAGTAGACTACACTAAGATACATAGAATAGTGCATTGGTTTTTAATTTCCATGAACGGTGTTGCCATGGTTACTAAAAATAGAATTCTCTGTGAAATTCCTTTAAAACACTACTCCTTCTACAGTTTTGTTCTGATTTCAATATAACTTGGCACACAAGTAGACTACACTAAGATACATAGAATAATGCATCGGTTTTTAGCTCTACTGGTCAGAGACCAGAAGAGCTTATGCGATTTTAATGCGTCCGGCGTCCGTCCGTCCGTCCGTCCGTCCGTCCGTCTGTCTGTCTGTCTGTCTGTCTGTCTGTCTGTAAACAATTTTTCAAAATGCTAATCCTCCTATAGATTTGGTCCGATTTCAATATAACTTGGCACACAAGTAGACTACACTAAGATACATAATTCTGTGCATCAGTTTTTGATTTCAATGAAGGGTGTTACCATGGTAACTAAAAATAGAAATTTCTTTGAAATTCTTTCAAAATGCTACTCCTCCTACAGTTTTAGTTCTATTTGAATATAACTTGGCATTCAAGTAGACTACACTAAGATACATAATTTTGTGCATCGGTTTTTGATTTCGATGAACGGTGTTGCCATGGTTACTAAAAATAGAAATTTCTTTGAAATTCTTTCAAAATGCTACTCCTCGTACAGTTTTGGTCTGATTTCAGTGTAACTTGGCACACAAGTAGACTTCACTAAGATACATAATTCTGTGCATCAGTTTTTGATTTCAATGAACGGTGTTGCCATGGTTAATAAAAATAGAATTTTCTTTGAAATTCTTTCAAAATGCTTCTCCTTCTACAGTTTTGGTTTGATTTCAATATAACTTGGCACACAAGTAGACTACACTAAGATACATGACTCTCTGCATCGGTTTTTGCTTTGATGATTGGCAAGGATCATTTTTCTATGAATTGCTGTTTTTAAAGTTTCAAGTCGCAACTGCTACTTTTCTCTTCATTTGTTTTAAGTATAAACCAGTAGAGCTGCAGTCTCGACAGAGACTTCTGGTTAATTTTGTTCGGTGTTGCCATGGTTACTAAAAATAGAATTTTCTGTGAAATTCCTTAAAAACGCTACTCCTTCTACAGTTTTGGTTTGATTTCAATATAACTTGGCACACAAGTAGACTACACTAAGATACATAGAATAGTGCAAGGGTTTTTGATTTCAATGAACGGTGTTGCCATGGTTACTAGAAATAGAATTCTCTGTGAAATTCCTTTAAAACACTACTCCTTCTAAGTTTTAGTCTGATTTCAATATTACTTGGCACACAAGTAGACTACACTAAGATACATAGAATAGTGCATTGGTTTTTAATTTCCATGAACGGTGTTGCCATGGTTACTAAAAATAGAATTCTCTGTGAAATTCCTTTAAAACACTACTCCTTCTACAGTTTTGTTCTGATTTCAATATAACTTGGCACACAAGTAGACTACACTAAGATACATAGAATAATGCATCGGTTTTTAGCTCTACTGGTCAGAGACCAGAAGAGCTTATGCGATTTTAATGCGTCCGGCGTCCGTCCGTCCGTCCGTCCGTCCGTCTGTCTGTCTGTCTGTCTGTCTGTAAACAATTTTTCAAAATGCTAATCCTCCTATAGATTTGGTCCGATTTCAATATAACTTGGCACACAAGTAGACTACACTAAGATACATAATTCTGTGCATCAGTTTTTGATTTCAATGAAGGGTGTTACCATGGTAACTAAAAATAGAAATTTCTTTGAAATTCTTTCAAAATGCTACTCCTCCTACAGTTTTAGTTCTATTTGAATATAACTTGGCACACAAGTAGACTACACTAAGATACATAATTCTGTGTATCGGTTTTTGATTTCAATAAATGGTGTTGCCGTGGTTACTAAAAATAGAAATTTCTTTGAAATTCTTTCAAAATGCTACTCCTCCTATAGATTTGGTCCAATTTCAATATAACTTGGCATTCAAGTAGACTACACTAAGATACATAATTTTGTGCATCGGTTTTTGATTTCGATGAACGGTGTTGCCATGGTTACTAAAAATAGAAATTTCTTTGAAATTCTTTCAAAATGCTACTCCTCGTACAGTTTTGGTCTGATTTCAGTGTAACTTGGCACACAAGTAGACTTCACTAAGATACATAATTCTGTGCATCAGTTTTTGATTTCAATGAACGGTGTTGCCATGGTTAATAAAAATAGAATTTTCTTTGAAATTCTTTCAAAATGCTTCTCCTTCTACAGTTTTGGTTTGATTTCAATATAACTTGGCACACAAGTAAACTACACTAAGATACATAACTCTCGGCATCGGTTTTTGCTTTGATGATTGGCAAGGATCATTTTTCTATGAATTGCTGTTTTTAAAGTTTCAAGTCGCAACTGCTACTTTTCTCTTCCTTTATTTTAAGTATAAACCAGTAGAGCTGCAGTCTCGACAGAGACTTCTGGTTAATTTTGTTCGGTGTTGCCATGGTTACTAAAAATAGAATTTTCTGTGAAATTCCTTAAAAACGCTACTCCTTCTACAGTTTTGGTTTGATTTCAATATAACTTGGCACACAAGTAGACTACACTAAGATACATAGAATAGTGCAAGGGTTTTTGATTTCAATGAACGGTGTTGCCATGGTTACTAGAAATAGAATTCTCTGTGAAATTCCTTTAAAACACTACTCCTTCTAAGTTTTGGTCTGATTTCAATATAACTTGGCACACAAGTAGACTACACTAAGATACATAGAATAGTGCATCGGTTTTTGATTTCGATGAACGGTGTTGCCATGGTTACTAAAATAGAATTCTCTGTGAAATTTCTTTAAAATGCTACTCCTTCTACAGTTTTGGTCTGATTTCAATATAACTTGGCACACAAGTAGACTACACTTAGATACATAGAATATTCCATCGGTTTTTGATTGCGATGAACGGTGTTACCATGGTTACTAAAAATAGAATTTTCTGTAAAATTCCTTTAAAACTCTACTCCTACAGTTTTTGTTTGATTTCAAAATAAGTTGGCACACAAGTAGACTACACAAAGATATATAAAATAGTGCAATGGTTTTTAGGTCACCTGAGTAAACTCAGGTGACCTATTGCTATCTGTTTTCGTCCGTCGCCGTCCGTCGTTTGTCGTCTGTCGTTCGTCGTGTGTTAACATTTGAACATTTTCAGCTTCTTCTCTGCAACCACTGAACCAATTTCCACCAAATTTGGCACAAAGCATCTATGGGTGAAGGGGAACAAAAATTGTGAATTTCATGATCCCTGCCCCCCTGGGGCCTGAGGGGTGGGGCCAAAACCACTAAAATTAATGAAATCTTTAAAAATCTTCTTCTTTACTCCTGGACATGAAGCAGTCAAACTGTTTGCATGATTGTAATCAGCATTGAGTCCTTTACCAAAATTGTGAAATTCATGGCCCTGGGGTCAGGGGTTCTAGTGCTAGGGCGGGGCTAAATAAGTATATAGTGAAAATGCATTATTTCTTTCTCTACTCCTGGGTATTAAATAAACCAACTAAGTACATAGTTATGATGAGCAAGAGTGCCTCTACCAAAATTGTGGATTTTATGGCCCCAGGGTCAGGGGTTCTGTTGTTAGGGCGGGGCTCTATTGATTATATATAGTGAAAATACATGATTTCTTTGAAAATCTTCTTCTCTGCCCCTGGGTATTAAATATACTAACTAAGTGCATAGTTATGATGGGGATGAGTGCCTCTACCAAAATTGTGAATTTTATGGCCCCAGGGTCAGGGGTTCTGGTGTTAGGGTGGGGCTCTATTGATTATATATAGTGAAAATACATGAATTCTTTGAAAATCTTCTTCTCTGCCCCTGGGTATTAAATATACTAACTAAGTGCATAGTTATGATGAGGATGAGTGCCTCTACCAAAATTGTGAATTTTATGGCCCCAGGGTCAGGGGTTCTGGTGTTAGGGCGGGGCTCTATTGATTATATATAGTGAAAATACATGATTTCTTTGAAAATCTTCTTCTCTGCCCCTGGGTATTAAATATACTAACTAAGTGCATAGTTATGATGAGCATGAGTGCCTCTACCAAAATTGTGAATTTTATGGCCCCAGGATCAAGGGTTCTGGTGTTAGGGGGGGGGGGGCTCTATTGATTATATAGTGAAAATACATGAATTCTTTGAAAATCTTCTACTCTGCTCCTTGGTATTAAATAAACCAACTAAGTGCATAGTTATAATGAGCAATAGTGCCTCTACCAAAATTGTGAATTTCATGGCCCCAGGCTCAGGGGTTCTGGTGTTAGGGGGGGGCTCTATTGATTATATAGTGAAAATACATGAATTCTTTGAAATCTTCTTCTCTGCTCCTAGGTATTAAATAAACCAACTAAGTGCATAGTTATGATGAGCATGAGTGCCTCTACCAAAATTGTGAATTTTATGGCCCCAGGGTCAGGGGTTCTGGTGTTAGGGGGGGGGGGCTCTATTGATTATATAGTGAAAATACATGAATTCTTTGAAAATCTTCTACTCTGCTCCTAGGTATTAAATAAACCAACTAAGTGCATAGTTATGATGAGCAAGAGTGCCTCAACCAAAATTGTGAATTTTATGGCCTCAGGGTCAAGGGTTCTGGTGTTAGGACGGAGCTCTATAGATTATATATTAGTAAAAATACATGAATTCTTTGAAAATCATTTTCTCTGCTCCTGGGTATTAAATAAACTAACTAAGTGCATAGTTATGATGAGCAAGAGTGCTTTTACCAAAATTGTGAATTTTATGGTCCCAGGGTCAGGGTTTCTGGTGTTAGGGCAGGGCTCTATTGATTATATATTGAAAATACATGAATTCTTTGAAAATCTTCTTCTCTGCTCCTAGGAATTAAATAAACGAAGTACATAGTTATGATGAGCAAGAATGCCTCTTTTAAAATTATGAATTTTATGGCCCCAGGGTCAGGGGTTCTGGTGTTAGGGGGGCGGGGCTCAATTGATTATATAATGAAAATACATTAAATCTTTGAAATTTTTTTTCTTTGTCTCTGGGTATAAAGCAGATGAACTACCTTTATAGTTATGATGAGCAAGGGCCCTAATCTTGCAGAATTGTGAATTTCATAGCCCCAGGGTCAGGAATGGGGGCTCTACTTATATACTGATAATGAATTTATTGTTTGAAATCTGCTCTTTTGTATTATAAAACATTTATTTATTTTTTGATATTAAGGGTGCCTTTTTGAAATTTGTGTAATGTGTGGACCTAGGGTCAGGGGTTTATGTCACAGGGTTAGGGGCACTACTGGTTAGTTGGAATGCATTTTTGTTCCCCTACCCTGCATATGGGTATTCAGTAACCAAGCTAAGCAACTGCTAAGTGTATTGTTATGATGATCAATGGTGCCTCTTTCAAAATTGTGAATGTCATATAGCATCTGGCTTAAAACATGAATCAAATTCAATAACTGGAAAATTGTTGCATAATGCTCAGGTGACCTATAAGGCCCGTGGGCCTCTTGTTGATAAGTACAAACCATTAGAGCTACAGTCTCGACAGAGACTTCTGGTTTTTATCAGTAAGAATACTGTGCACCTTCAAAATGATTTGTTAAGTGCCTTTTAAGCTTTGATTAAGCAATACTAGTTCTATAAAATCAAAAGTCAGCTCATAATCTGCGAAAGTGAAAGTTTTACCGGGTATATATTTTGTACCAGCACCATAAAGTAAAATAAATATTTTTTTTTACAGAAAAACATTCCCCAGGTTTATGATCATTGTGCCTTCTTCTTCTGGTTTCACACGTACTTCATTGAGGAAAATAGGTAAGTACAGCGTTAAACATGACAGATATCAATGCAGCAGTGGTCTCTGTGGAAATTTTTTTACTCAATATGGCATTGTTTTAAAACTAAAAATAGCAGTATACAAGCATTCTGAAAGCATTGCACAAGGAGGAATACTAGTCCCCTACTGGCAGTTGAAATGCATTCTCTTTAAAAATTAAAAACAGCATAATTCCATCATAAATCATTAAAGAGATATGAAATGCAAACTAACTTTAACCCATCAAGGTAGTCTCATACTAAAATTCAGTTAAATATCTTAAAAGGTAAAACGAAAACTTATGAAAAACCAAGTAGAAAATTTGATTCCACTTAAAAATTGAAAAGGCTGTAATTCTGTTAAAAAATCATTGAAGTGGAATGATATGCAAACTTGATCTATAACTCATAAAGTACACCCCTTTTCAAATCCAACTTAATGAATATGTGAAGGAAAAAATGTCAAAAACCAAGTGGACATATATAGAAAGACAAGGAGGAAACTTCTATTCCCTGCAGTTTCATCATTTGAGGGATAATATTAAACCAGAAGTTACACGAAGACAAACACATTAAGGATACCGGTACATTGCAGAAAGTCAATAGTCATGGAAATAAGCTTTACTCAGTTTACATAACAGTGCATCAAAAGTATGTTTTTTAGTGTCAGCTAATTGATTTTTTAGATAATTTTGAAACGTCCATGTTTAAGACAATAGTTATATACATTGTAGGTAAATTTTGGATGCATGTATCATTGTGACGAAATCATGGTAAAGGGGATTTAAGCTAAATGTAACCTCCCCAAGATTTAAACTTCTTTTGTTTTGGCTCTGAAAAAATAAAATGTGTATGAAATATTTTTAACTGTATTCATTATTAATCCATTTAAAACTCACATCTGATCTTTTTTCTAGTACATGGTACTAGTAGTGAGATAATGTGTATATTTAATGTATTTGTACATGTATTTATGGAATACTTCCATGTAATTGGTAAGGATTGCAAGTACATATTGATAAAAACTTCTTAAAACTTCATATCACTCATGTGATAAATCTTGTAGGCTATATCTAAGCAGAGATGAAATTGACAACCCTCACAAGAAAAAGGCAAAAACTGTGTATAAAGAGGACTTTGCTGTTGAGCTCAAGTTTGAGGATGTCAAAGAATGAGTGTGACATTTATAGACAATAAAGAAAACTTGTTTGATAAGTTAGTAATAACAATTTATGAAGAGGATTTGAAAGACATTTATTTCACAATGTACATCTACAAGATATGTCAGTGCTAAATTAGTATATACCTAATTCAATGATTACTTCTTTTAAATACATGTACAATCATATACATGTAGTTTTGTTGAGTTAAAACTTGTTTGGTTGTACTCAACTTGTCAGCTGATACACAAGTATTTTGTAGCTAGTTATATACATTTGTACTGTAATTTTTTTTAAAATTCTTAATTCATGTTTGAGATTATTTACAATACTCAGAAAAAGACTTTTTCCAATGCATAACACTTTGACTCAAATGTTTCTTCCTTGGTCAGTATCAAAACTGTGATATCAAAAATCACCCATCATTGTTACACTTTCAACATTGTAGCATTATGGGAGTGAAATTCGAATAACAAAGACTGGTTGTATGATATTGGTTGTAATACTTGAGAGTATGTTTATTGTTGACAGAACCCTGATGTTATCAGACCATACCTGTTTTCAGTTGTGATAGAATTGAATTGTTTCATTTGAATCCATATGGAAGTCATGTTCTTTGCCAGTTACATATATGTCTACATTTTTTCCATATGTTCTTAAAGACAAAAGTTTAAATTTAACTTTTTTGCATTGACATACTGTGGAATCATTGCAGTTTGTGGTGACTCAATTACCAGTATATTTGTGGCCCCTCTCATCAACAAATTTACATTCTTAATGAATTTAAAACTTGCTTTCTTGTTTGTTAGAACTGGGATTAATGTAGCAGTGGTTACAGAAAAAAATACATAGCAGGCGTAAGCAGATTTATGCGGGTTATGTAATTTTATTTTCTGCAATACTGTAACATTAATCCACAAGCATACTTATAAAGAAAACTTTTTATTGATTTTATTTATACCTGTACAAATAATCATTCAAAGTAGCATTAAGAAGATTAAATATTGTATTATTGATTTGTACATCATTGTATGTTTTATTGATGGATGAGCCACTGCTCAAGAAATCTGTAGAGGTGATATGCTTATTGTATTATTGATATTTTTTACCGTCATTGTACATTTCATTGATGGAAGAGCCAATGTTTAAGAAATCTTGCAAAATGTTGACAGTAAAGGAAATATCTTTGTTTCATCAACTCGTTTTTCAATAGCTTGCTCTTGTTTTAGAAATTGTTCATAAGTAGAGCATTCTCTTGCACATCAAATCAACTGGGAGACATAAACTTCGTAGGCAGGTGATAATGTGTGCTTTTCATACATTTACAATCTGTACTCCCGATATATAGTGTGAAAACTTCCGTTCATTATATGTTGACTGTAAGTCAGTTTTTTGCTGCTTTGATTGCTTTAAAAGAATTGGCAATTTCTCGAGAAATCCTTTCTTTTCTCTGTTAAAAAGTAAAATCAAATACCACAATGATCTTGCTTTTCTAGGCACTTTCTGAGCCAATAAGGAGTTGATCATTACGTCTTGGGTTGGAATACCATTGGGGGACATGACTACCGTCCTTTGGATGAGGCCGTATATCAATACAGAACTCCCTTGTCGCAGTTGGAGCTGGCACGAAAAAGGTCCCTCATGGTTCAAGGCCGAGTACAGGTCTAAATTTGCAGCCCTCGGCAACAAGCTGTTGCATCTTAATATGACTAATTCTAGAAGGGAGTGAAACAACAAACAAACTTCCTAAGCTTCGATGAACTTTACAGTCTGTGCTACTCCCTTTATAACAAACTTTTTAAAAAATGAGGTTGTTACTTTTTCGAAGGTTAGAGCAGTTTACTGTATGATGCGATGCTTTCTAATTTGAACATACTAGGGATATATGGTTAATTATTTTATTCCGTCAAATTTTATAAAAACGGTAATGAGTAGCATACATTCGTTTGGGAAATAAACATGTACATCATGTAACAAAAATGTGAAGGAAAAAAAAACAGTAGAGGAATGCTAAGAAGAAGCTGCAATACGGCAATAAGTGTCAAATTCCCTTTTAAATCACTTAGACACAAAGTTGGTGCTGTATATTCATGCATAGAAGGATTTTAGTTCTCTTGCATGCGCCATTCAAGGCCGCCATCCACCCTTGGAGAGAAGAACGTTACAACCAACACCTCCAACTGAATGACGGGGTTTCAAATGGCGGTACCCGTCATAAGAGCTTGCTCGCTGTTTTCGTATGTATCCACAATAATGAGCTTGCCCGGTGATGTCGTCTGATACTGTAAGTAGCAAATTGTAATAATGTATAAAGAAAACACAAACTGAAAGTATAGGCCAAATCTAAGAGTAATTGTTCGCGATTTGACGTTAAAGAGGCATTTACGTGTGGCGATAATTAGTACTCGTGAAAAATAAGGAATCTACATTACTGAACTTCAAAATACCCCAATGAAATATGAAGGTAACGAACAGTAAACAAGCTTAAAAGTCCACGGTAACTTAAAAAAATTGCAAGAAAACCAAACGCGGACCCCTAAAATCATCAGAGGTGGAATCAGGTGCCACGGAGGAGTAAGCATCCCCTGTCGACCAGTCTCACCTGTCGGGTCCTCCTTGACGTCATTGGCCAAACTAAAATATATCTTTAGACAATTAGTTTGTATATATTTAATGACCAGAGAATTTGAATGAAAAAAGTCATTCTTCAGCATTCGAGGCATAATAGTTTGTATTTGCTGATAAGGTCAATGTATAGACCAAGGATTATAAGAAATGTACACTTTTAAGGGAGATTGCAAATGTCCTTGTCCTATGAATATTTTTGTCAAAAATTTGCCTCGTTTTGGAAATTGTCCATTGTTACATATAGATCAAACTCTTGCTATCGAATTAATTGGGAGACATTAAGTCCGTAAGCAGGTGATAAGTTTTGTATCATTGTTCTAAGGTACTGAGTTACCCATAATCTATCACTTTCACGTTAATAGCACGCAATTCAACTGTATTCTCATGCACTGAGTTAGCCATGGTCTATCAAAATTTCATCATACAATTTTATATAACCAATGAAAAAAGAGCACGTGATTCGAAAAGTTTAGCGCGCTGTATTTCTTTGAACCTTAGAACTACATCGCCCATCCAAGTCCGAACGCCAAAGATGATGGTTGTGACTTTAAACTGTGGTCTTCAAAGGAAAAACACCGCAACAATATTACAATTAAAGGTTAGATATGAATACTTAACTCTAGACTGTATCCAGTTTTGTAAAAATATTCGCAGATAAGAGACGGTTATACCCAAGCCTGAGAGATGGATGTACGGACATTCCCAATTTTATATACATGGGAGGGATATAGTAACAAAACTTCTTACGCCTTTATTTTCTTGTGGTCCCGACTGCTGATTTAAACGCAACGGCGTGTCTTCTCCGGAGTAAATGTTGTCGACAGCATGTGTTTCTTTCTTACCATTTATTTTCTTTCCAAGTTCCTCCAGTAATGTTTTTGCCTTTAATCAAAATGAATCCTTTTTTCAGTTTTAGAGCCTGTTTGGTGTAAAAGGATGCACCGTGCATTTCAAACACAGTACATGTAAGTAGAGTGTCTACTAACTAACAATACCTTTACTTTGTAGCATTGCTTCCTGATTCGATTGTGAATGAGATACTCTATGACTGTCGTCATCATAGCTATAATTAAACCACCAATCAGAATGTGGAACATCCCCGACACGTTACTGAGGGTGAGCGATCTCTTTTTCCCGCCATCCTGAAACCAAAATCTTTTAATAGTTTATCATTTTGCATTTCCAAATTCTGCAACTATCCTTTTTTAAACGAAATATATCGTTTGTTTTTTCTCTAACCTGCAGTAGCATTTTTTCAAACCCAAAAAAAAATTTACCCCGGTTCCCGCTCCACATCGGCCTTTCTCGACCCACCACCTTGTCTCCAGTTTCAGAAGCTGACCCAGCTCTCCCAGCCTCAGAACCTCCAAATTCAACCTCCTTCTACATAAAGCACGATACTCATGTTTTTTTTAAAAAGTATAACAGTCAGATAATAAACCACCCAATTAGCTGTTAATTCTAATGATCAAAATACATAGTTAAGAGTAACTGACATTTCCAGTAAAATCAAAACGAACCCCAATCCTTTCCTGTGTTTTTTGTTGAAGGCGATCCCGTAGTTGAGGCTATTGATGAGTCCCCCGGTCGGCATTGTTTTACACGGTTTTTGCTGACTGAGATAATCATTAAATACTCCTTCTAAAATGAAGGCATACTTTCCCTTTTCCTCGATTACCTTTCTCCATCCTTCCTCATTATCCCCCATAAGATAACGGGACATTACAGTGTACATATTTTGATATGTTAACACTTTTGAATACTAAAAAAGAAATTTGAATTTATATCATTTGCATTTTTAATTTATACTATGCAATAATGCTTTTCGTTCACTGTTCACTCCTTAATATCAAACAGATTTTAAAAAAAACAATGAAAAAAAAATGTGCATTTTTACAAAGAAAACGTGTTATGAATGTGCAATTTAAGCTTATAAAATAATATCATAGTTTACTTGTATTTTCCGAGGTAGCATATGACCAGTATTGGTATGGGAATCTTTATTTCATAATCATATTAACATCAGATTGAATGTTCTATCGATAAAATGATAAAATGCCTTACGGACCCGGGTGAGGGCTTGTCCCAAGACACAGTAAGATTATATTCTTACAAATATTAAACTATTCACTTTCTAATCAGGTTTTTATTTTTTATGATATAAATAAGCAGAATTTAGGGACAATCCACGTATACCTGGAAAAATTCCTGAGAGGAGCCTCCAGCAACGGTTCCATATTTCACCTTTGTTTGTTTCACGAGATCATCAACGCTTCTTATTTTAAAATCCATGCTCTCTACGGTAAGAAAGGCGGCCAGATTGGCTGTGTAGGAGGCCACTAAAATCAGAGTGAAAAACCACCAAGCACTCTCCGCACACCGTCCAGAAAAAGACCTGAAATGTTCAGCCACATATCTCGTTTAGATTTTATTAAAAAATTAAACCAAAAAATAAATAAATGAATAACAAAACAATAAAATTCGTATACATTATTTATTTAACTTGTTGCGTATATAAATTACATGTATATTTACTTTTATTAAATAATGTTATAGTTTTACATGATAAAAATTATGAGAAGATATAGCATTTACCAAGAGAAGTAAAAACAAGGATGATTTATTCACCTTGGTGATATATCGGATCCCTGTTGCATTAAGGCTCCAAGAGAACTCCAAAGAGAATTGGCTAGGTTGAAATCGCTGGACGGACCCTCCTCAGAATTTTGTGACCATTCAAATGGACTAAATCGTCCAATCAAGAAAAGAATCACACTGGTCGTGAGAAAACCAATAGCGATGCATAGCCAGACATTTTTGTGAAGAGGTTCTTTAAATGAAAACATTCCAGGTTTTCTTTTTTCTGGTTTATAGATCATGAGACTCAAGCCTGTTCGCATGAAAGGTTTGGTAAAATCAACCACCTTCTGTCTATCCTTTGTAATCGTTATTGGAGCAAATGCTAGATCCGCCTCCTATTAGAAAGAAAGTATGTATACATATTTTATTGAGTTACCTTACTAGATGCTATACAGATAATTAATTTCAGGTACTTACTTACATCATCAACAAGCTTTCTAATTAGATTGCTGAACGATTTGTTTGTCTGTGTCTGTATTTCAAACGGTCTCCTAAATACATTGGACTCGTTCAAAAGTTTTATAAGATCAACAATGTATCCCTCCGTCGTACCATTCGGAGTTAGGTAGAAAAATGGTTTTCCCTTTCAAAGAAAATGATTTTATAACGTTTTTTTCTTTCAACGTAAAACCTAAATACCGCTAATAATCTAAATGAGCCAATATGAGACATATTCGGTATATGTGTCATGAAAAAAATGTACAAGTTCTGAAATCTAAATCAAATGCAAAACAACGATAATATTTTTTTTTCTCAGTTTGAAATATGCTAACAAAATGCATCATTCGACATTCAGATATTGTTGTCTCAATGGTCAACAAAACAGTTGAAGAAAACAAAAGTGACAGTTCTGCAAAAAATCAACAAACAATACAAATACGTGTACCCCTGGAAATACCACAGATGGGATCAGGTGCCTAGAGGGAGTAAACAACCTGAGAAGATACATACTATGACCGTTACAATAACCAACGGACGCTCGTCCGGACTCCCGCGATGACGTGCATGATTATTATTAAGATGAATTCCTGTTTCATTTGTCCATTTACCAATCTGAGTCAAAAATAAAAATAACATTACTAGTATTAAAAAAAAAGAAAATTTGTGTTTCATATTTATTTATTCATAAAATAAGATAAAGACAAACCTTTTCATATCAAAATATTTATGATATGAATATGATATTCATGATGATAAGCTACAGCCATTTTCATGAAGGTGACTTTCGATTTTTTTTTCTTTTGGTCATATGGTTATTATAAACCAGAAACACCTTCTTCCGCTTATATATATCCTTTCAATGCTATCAAACTGTATGTATTAATGTGGTGGGTAATGTGTATATTTTCGATATAGACAAGAATTGAACATACCTCTTTTAAACTTGATCTAAAACCAAAACTGAAAACCCGGAGGCCATAATTTGTTCTATAACCTTCTTTATTAAAACGAATGTGGCCAGATAGTCCTTCCAATTTTGTCTACAAAACATAAGATTGATTGTTAATATAACAAATATTTTACTGCGTCAAATTTGTCACCCCTAAAAAATCAGTGAAATCGAGAAGCATACAGTACGTGAATTTAGTCAGAAGGTCTTTATTTACCCTTTTTAGTTGCTGTAGAAGCTGATGGCCCTTTGTGTCGGTACAGGGGTCTCCTGACAGTGCTGTATTACAATATCTACATCTTCTGATGGTTCCACGCCTGGTCGGCAGACAGCCCCCGATACTATGAAGGGCTGACGACAGCAGTGCCACACCGTCTATAAATAAGGCTGCCTCCACCTGCCAGGTAGGAAATCTTCTTTACCATCTTTTTCGCTATTATGAAAACTTTAATATTGCTTAATTTTAAATGAAACAGATTATAACGCCAACAAGTTTCAATTATTTACTCTACTATGCCAAATCAACGTTGAAATTGTTAAGGACTCTACTTTAATCTCGCTTTACTCAAAAAATGCATAATTTTTAGGGGGAAAAAGCTTTGTTCAACTTGTCATCATTAATAGACATTTTCTATTACTGCAATCTTTTATCAAAAGCATTGGTTTGATTTTAAGTACACTCGTGAGGAGATGCTTACTGTTTCATGGACCTGAAGCCACCTTTAGAATTTATAGTGATCTGTGTTTTATGCCCTTTTCACAGACTTGTATTTATTTTTAGTTTGTGATCGTTCAGGGTTCGTTATCTCTTATCTAAACCACTTTACTTACTTTCTAGAGAAAACCAATTTCATGCTACTACCAATATGATATTGTAGTAACGTGTAAACCTGAATTTGAATTTTTTGGATGGATGTATATACTAAATTAAAACATAATTTTTAATTTTGTGGTCAACCTATAATTTTAAAACTTGTTACATTTGTGATTATTACATTTTCGGTTATTGTTTTTTTTTTACTGTTTATATGGTAGGAAGAGTTCTCAAAATCTCTAGAAAGAAAATCCACGGAACTTATATGCTTGCTATATAAGATATGTTTTACAAAGAGAAGGTATCATATAGTGTAATTTTACGATATGTTTTACAAAGAGTTACTGATATGGCATTATTGCTAAGTATGTATTACATAGATACGTTACCGATATAGAATAATTTTTATTCGTTTCTCTAAGTTCTTTGGTAAAGGCCACTTCATGAACAGAGGTCTTCGCTAAAAACTTGAACCCGGTGATATTAACACCGCCATGCAGAAACCGTTCTCTCAGAAAATCCCCGTACTCTTCTATGTTCTGCAATTTAGAATATACTATATTGAAGTTAAAAAGTGTACTTGATACAATTATGGTTACCTTAAGAAATAAATTGTTGTGTTAAGTAACTATAATACTCTAAAGTTTGGAAAGTTTGCTATTCAAAACATTTTGTATAGTAGTGATCAGTTTTACTTTAATATTTAGTTTTATTAACTTTATTCTGAAAAGTAACACACCAATGATATGTAAAATTGTTTATTCATTTACATCTCATTTGGCTCATTTTTGTTTTTTTTTTTTTCGCTATTGCACTGAAGATTTATAAACTGGTTAAATCAGTATATTCCCTGTCAAGACAGGACAAAACACAAGAGAATGGTTGAGTTTGTACTTACAAAGCCACCAATTATGATATGGTATCCATTTCTGTTCATCCCAGAATCAATCATCTACAACATGTTTGAAATAAAAATGGAATTTTGATGTACTGAAGGTTTTTAAAGATATGATTAAAGCACATCTAGAGATGTCTAATAAATTTCCTTATGAAGAAAAAAGAAAGTTATTTATTTTTCACCTATTGGATACTAATATAGCTTAAGCAATTAAATGATAATCATAAATATATGCAAATATAGTTAAGTAATGAATACTTTTTTGGTTTAGTTTTGTTTTCAAAGTTAACTTTAAGAAAGCTTTGTAAGGAACTATTTTTCACCATTCTCATCAGTCGTGTGTTTGCAGCTTTTGATCCTAAGTCCAGAATAAATACTTTCTGACTAATCGTAGGGTCCAATCTGTCCATGTGGTATAGCTCAGAATATACATTATAGTCGTTAGTTGAGATTCTGTGATAGGACACCTGAAATTTTCCATAATGATTCCATTGTAGCATGGCCATCTCATCCATCCTCCAAAGTCCTATATCAGATATTATGAAAATATGAATTCATATGAGGCCATCTTTATATAATGTTTGTTTGTCCTCTCCCGACAATCGTTTTTTTTTTCTTTTTGTGTTTTTTACGTTTTGTTGACGGGAGGTATAAATAGAAAAAAAAGTATCCTGTCCTACAAAGTCATGAGTCGGACCATTTTTAGTCTGTCGGGAAGTGGCAACCAAACAATTTTAAAGATGGCCTAGAAATAACTTTTTTCTAGGGTTCAAAAAGTTAAAATAATGAAATGGTTGGTATCTTAATATGTCTCAGAAAAAGACAAATGACATATTTTTCTTATTCTTACTGTTGTAGATGCTGGATGCTGACTAGTTTAGATGTGTGATATTCAAAACATGTCTATTTAGAATGTTGTTAGGAAAATGGTTTCGGATTATTCATAACCAAAGGTCACGAAAAGGTAAAAGTTTCACACTTTTCGACTGCATGAAACCAAGTTGAAATCTGACTGAAGGCCAAATTTATTTCTAGAAGAAATGTATTTCTTATGCTTTTATATCAATTGCTTATTCTATGCATAGTTAACACTTTAATACCTTTATTTCTTTTTTCTTCACGAGAAGAGAGTTTTCTAGTAATATTAAATGTAAGAGAAATTGGGGATAATGAAGAGAATTCTTACGTATAACTTGAGGGTAGAGATACTACTGGAAGAGTACAAGATTTTTTATTATACCTTCGTCACTGTCATACATATAGTAGACCTTCTGCCAGTTGTTGTATAGTATATAATCCACCACCGCTGGAATATACGATGGAGTCATAAACACACTGTAATGGTTTCCGGGGTGATGTATACGTGGTCCAGTAGACACAATAAATGGTAACTCAAGGGTACGTCCGAAACTGTTCACAACCTCCATCGAGTCCTTCGTCGCCATGGATACAATAGCCAAGGACTCTCTTAATTGGTTACATACTGCAAAACAGCAAAATCTACGAAACAATGGTAGACATGCAAGTAGTTGATTGGCGTAAAGCAGTATCCGTTTAACTTACCCGCTCGACTCACTTCATAGTTGTTACTGATGTTGGTCCGGATGATGGTGTCAGATAGGTAAATCTTTTTACTGTTGTTGGTTAGGGTAATAACGTCTCCCACCTGACAACAGCTGCAGCTGGTGTTGGAAATCTTTAGAGCAATCTTAATAGATGCATCGATATCACTAGGGACAGTGGTGTCTAGAATGAATCCTAAATAAAACATTATCTGTATTAACTGATATTTTACTTATGTATTTTCAGCAAAAAATAGCTTGATTTCCCAACAGATAAAACCTGCAAATCAATTAATCTTCTTCCTTATCTGAACTTTTACATAATTATGCTGATTGTAAATTCTTTACTATATACACGTTATGCAGCTTTTTAGTTGTTTTTTTTAACAATACTCACTTTGAAATACTACATAAAATAAATAGGTGAAGATAACGAACAGAATTCGATCGAAAAACCGTGAACAATACAATTCTGTGAAGAAACCCCTGAAAATTTTAGAGATTGGACCAGAAGCATAGGAGAATTAAGCATCCTCTCGTTGACCTTTCACATCTGCCGTGAGTCCTATGGTTTTTATCAAGTAAAAGGAACATTCCGAAGTCAAACTAAGTATTAAAACAAAGGCTTATAAATTCGCACATGAAACAAGTTAGCCAAAATACGACCCCATGATGTTATATATGCTAACAAGGCCAACATAAAGACTGTTTTGATGAAATTTAACATAAACCCTCTGTTCACTATTGCAAACTTTGCTTTTAAGATGACTTTTATGATTTTCCAAAAGAAATGCATTTTATAAGTAAAATACAAGGAATAATATCATATCTCGAAGGGCATACTACCAATTGACAAAATACACGTTCAACTTGACAAAATAGACTTTTATGTCATTAAGTGTTTAATCTCTTTTATCAGAGTATCAAAGAATCTTTATCTTGATCCAAGAAGCAAGACAAAACGTCTGCCTTTGGTAACATATACGTTACCAAACTTATTAAGAATGTAAATACATACATGTATTCTGATCATTGGATCAATATGAAATCTCACTCTCGAGACTTCTATGTGGCAAATGACCTCGGTGAACAAGTTCAGGTTACTTGCCCCTTTCACCCATTAATACAAACATTATTTATCTAAGGTGACTATGAAGGTGGGTCTTTCCTAACATTCTGTTAGTAGGGCGATGGAGACCAGAAAAAATTGAATAATCAGTAGTCACAAAGTTTTTGCATTCTGTTGGAATAAGAATCACTGCTTTTGACCAGTTTGATTTACTAATTAAGTTCTTACGATTACAAATCAATTCAAAATTTGAACATAATATTAGACCAGATTTACACTTCATTTTTTTTTTTATTTCTTCAATTTTTTCAAGATCTATTAGAGAACTTAAAAAATTACTCGATAAATCATTTCATCCACGGAAGCATTTTACTAACATGAGTGAACGCTTAATTTTACTTTGAAAGTGCCCGGTAAATTAAAATGGCTGACGACTGTATTCTTGATACTCATGGGAGGGGTGCATATTGATGTATTTATGCCATTAGCCGATAAAATAAAATATAGTACATTAATTTTATCATATGACAGAGCGAGAACATTTTTTTATTTGGCACTAGATGAGTATTTCTCTATAAAGACAGAATCAGTGCCATTCTTCCATTAGCACTTAAAAATGCGGTGTCAAATTATCGTAGGATTTTGATATTGTCATGGATAGTCGGTATACAGTTTATCTTAAACCGCAAAAATACAATTCGGATCTATACAAAAAGGCTTGTGGTTGAAAGCAACGATGAAGATTTTTGATAACACACATAATGCAGAACAAAAAAAAAAAAAAAAAAGAATGGCGTGTTTCTACAAATAATGAAATAAGACGAAGTTTCATTTATATAGCAGAATCCTCTATATCTGAAAGAGATTTTAGGACAAGATACTAGTACATATACACAAGATTTAATTTTTCTTCATGAACCTTATTTTAATAGGATAAAGTAAACAATTTGCTTTAATATGATAAAAGCAAAGTTATTTTACAATTGCTTAGCAGAATAATAAAAGTTCTTTCACTTATTGGCCATCGTGTACATTTATGATAAAGCATTAATAAAAGTTTGCAAAAGTTCTTCCAACTTACCCACTTGCACCGTCATGTTTTTTGGAGTATATTGACTGGTGACACGAGTGTACAAATTTTCCAAAACCATCAGGTATATTCCAAGAAACCATAATTTAGGCGGTAGATACATTCTTGTTCAAGTCCGTGAAAAAGTATTTGGATTTCAATCGTCAATGCCATAGTCACGCATGCCCATAATATTCCGAAAAATTAGATTACAAAAGTGTGATACACTGAAGAGGCCAAGTTCTCATTTATATTTCATAATGACAAACTCGATATTCTCCTAATATCAAAGTTTGGTTTTCCTGTTTTAATTGAATCATCAGTTGGTGTCTGAATGGTTAGGAGAATCGGGATGATAGAGAGGTGATATAATTGTAGAAACAGACCGTCGCTACGGTTCCAGTGGGAGAAGTCCAAATCAGGAAAGGAGCAAAGGGACTCCGTGTCAATACGGCGGGCTCTGTAACAAATCTAAAATCCAATTGTCTGACGATGGAAGTTATAAAATCAAAAAAGTATATTATTAAAAGTTAGTCGATATTTAAAAATTGTTTGTTATTTAATCACGAATGGATTAATAATCATACACATGTATGTTCGATACTCTCCGTTAGAAATACAAATTGTTTGCTTTTTTCTATAAAAAGAAATATTTTGAAAATGATGAATTTTCACAAAATATTAACGTTTTGATCTGTAAGAAATTTAGAAATATTGCATAATAACATGTCTATATTAATTTACTCAAAAATGAATACAAGACGGATAAAGCATTATGAATAAATGTGTATATAATTTAAATGTTCAAACTGTATCCAAGTAATACATGTAAAGGCATTGTGAAAGGTGAAGACTAGATGAATCGCGTGTTGTTACTGTTATTTCGATCTTGATTTTAATTGTTGCTTTATCTGTCCCCTGATTTTGTATACACATGAAAACCACGATCAACTACCATTGTTCATCAATCATAGACATTTTACATCTGTTGTGCTGTCCCCAGAAGACATTGTAATTACGGAAAAGATCGCCAATCATTGATCATAGGAGAGTGTATAATTTCAGTATATCAGAAGACACTGCGAATTTCAGCGGTGTGAACGCGTTCTTCCTAGAAATCTGTGACACCAACTTCTATTAGGACCGAACTTTATCATCGATCGACAATATTTACAGCGGATATACGTAACAATTTTCCTTATATCTCTACAGTAGTCTTTATAAGAATAACATCTTCAGAGGATTAATATATTTGGAATATGTATAAATTGAATGATATTGTTGGTTCTTTACTTTATCTCATTCCTATCTTATGCAAGTCATCATATACAAAGTTCGCTCAAATCAATCATGCAGTATTCAAAGTTTTACAAATAGGCACTAAATGGGTAAACTTATGCAAAACATCCATAAATACTTTCCTTGAAAACTTCTACTACTTATAAGAAAAAGTTATTTTAATGATTTTTAATTAACGTTGCATAATGCAGCGTTAACTTATAAATGGCAATCAAACAACAAAAACTTTATCATACCGTAATTACTTTAATTTTTCTATCGTAAGCTTCCATATTTATCTAACATTATCCCATTATCACCGGAAAATGTAGTTTATGTTTCCTAGTGGGTCTGAAACACAGGATCATGTTCTAAAACTAGCAACTATAAACAAAAAAGTTGAAGATGAAACATATGGCGATAACGAACAGTATTCAAAATCAAAAGCCCATAAAACAATACAAAATAGGAGCAAAGCAAACACGGACCTCCAAAACATCGGAGATGGGATCAGGTGCCATGGAGGAGTGAGCATACCCTGCCGAGCGGTCACACCCGGAGTTCCTTGTCATGATCAGGAAATAACGGGAAAATCCGTCGTCAATTCAGTGTATAAATAATGAACTAACAAGTATGAAAAACGTCAGTCAGTATTTGACTCAATGATAAATTGTATTTGTTGACATTGTCATTGTATCGACCATAGAACTTACAAAATGATGACTTTAAACGAGACAGCTGAAATTCTTGTTTCATCAACTTTTTTTCAATAATTTACCTTGTTTTATAAATTGTTCATACGTAGAGCATGCTCTTGCGTATCGAATCAACTGAGATATATAAACTCCGTATGCAGGTGATGAAGCTATATTGCTGCATAGGTAAGGGAAGTTGACGATAGAAAAGTTAAAGTCACCACGTTTATCATATAGCATGGTTGTTAGATTACCATCAACGTCTTTTTCAAGTAAAATATCCAAATATGAAACAGACTCTGTGATATCTTTTATCTAAGGAAATAACCAGCCTATTTAAATTCATTATTTTACACATTCTATGGTCGAAACAATTGACTCTATTAGGAAATACAATTTAAAAATTTGAGTACATTTTTATGCATATTATTACGCCATTGTTTTTACACTGAATATTCTGGACGATTTATTTGCTTGATCATGATAGGGAGCACAAGGCTTATCCACAGTGAATGCTTACCTCTCTATAGCATCTGATTCGTTTTCTGATGATTTAAAGGTCTTTCAAACAAAAACTCTACTGAGATATTCTATTTTTGCGATCGATTGTACCGGTTTTTATAGAAAAACGATACCAAAATGTTTCAAATGAAAAAGTTAATTGGAAAAGATGATCTCTTTTGAGGGAACTTTCATCTTACACCTACAGGGAAATCTGAAATCCTAAAAAGATACCAAAGGCTGAAAGAGTACAGAAAAGTCGTATTTGAAATGCACTACTTTAATAAACAAAATTAGTACCAAAGTTTATAACTTTTCTTAATGCTTAAGGTATATTTCAATACAACTATTCGATTAATATGTGTTACAAAATTTTTTTGTCAAATAAGGGATAATTGCATTTTAAATTTAGTTGTTTTCTGATTAAGTATTTTTTCCTTTGATAAATCATTTAAAACAAATTCATGGATTTGTACAAACAATAGACAGACTGGATTAATCGGTAAAAACTCAATTATTATCAATCGAAAGAGACGGAAATAAAAGAAAACAACAACTTTTTAAATTTTTACACATTTTAATCAAGAACATTTCGATACTGGAAATTCAGTAAAGATTTTTTGAATGAGTAGAATTGTTCAAACATTCAATTTGTTATTAACATAGATAAATAATATTCGAATGATTTTCTTTTATAAGGCAATAATCAAATGTAAACCCCATTTTAATTAATAAAAAGATAATTTCTATACGTTTCATACCGATATAGTACACACTTTTATTCAACATATTGAAACACACTTTTATTTCATGTTACAACGAACACAGAAACACGCCTCTTTCTTTCGTGGTAAAAAATTATCTCTCACAAATTGTCTTTTGTCTATTTCAGAGAGAGCACTGGCTAATATTACATACGTGTGACGTTTTACACCTGAGTGTGAGTATTATTTTCAGGATACGGTTCGTACTCCGGAACTTGTACAGGGCCAGTATAGGTGTACTGAAAAAAAAATCCAGAGCAAAAATATAAGGATTCAAACTTATTTTAAAAAATTAAAGCCTCATTAAAGGGTAACATTAATCGAAATTAATATAAAAATCGACACTATTTGATACTAAATTTTCAATTTTTTATGGAATAAGACTAATTTTTTTTCAAATAATGTTATTAAATCTGGAACATAAAACCTGTTATGAAATTATTCATTATGTATTTCATACCATGAGGGTAAGTTTAAAGGGTACTCAATTAAAACATGTATACTAAGTAAAATACTTTAATACGGCAATATGTACACAGTACATGTATAGAAAATAGTTTAAATTTCTCTGAACTCGTACCATATTTTTAAACGATACAATATTTTCTATAGATATTCAATTCCCAAAAAGGTAAATTCATTTGTGTTAATATTTCAATGAAATATTAATACGTTTTTATTTTTTGAAATTAAATGAAAATTTACAAGTCACCTTTAGGTAAAAGCTTTAAAAATTGACCTGTTAAAAATTGATTTGAATTTAAGGAAATGCCATGACCACAAACAAATTTTTAGTGGATGTAGATTTCATATAACGATATTGACAATGTTGAACGGCATATCAATGCTTTCTGGAGGCACCTATCAGTAGGTTTACTAATTGAGTTAAGGTACCGTGGCTGTTGGTTTCTTTTGTGGTGAGTTAGGTAGAGAACTATCATCCAGCGACCCTCGGAATGATAATCTAGCCTTACATCGCACCATAGAACCAAAGGATGTCTACAGGTAGAATATACTTTCATTGTAAGTACAATAATTTCCAGATTTACAAAAAACGACTCCAAAATTCACATTTAATTTTAACTTTTCTAGAATTGAAGTAGCTGACGAGAAATCACTGCTCTTTTATTACTCTTACCTTTGCCTTTTTAGAATCAACAACAGATTTATACAAGAATTCGATGGCAGCAATAACAACAGATAATGTTAGTCCGCAAGACAGGATATAGAAAATTCCCGCCACATTCTCTAAAGTCAGTTCCGCTTGTGATGCATCCTAATGAAAGGTAATAATTCAATTGATCATGATCCATGATTATGGCTTCGAAATATACTGATATTTTAAAGTTGTGATTATATCGTTAAAAAAAAGACCTTGTATCATTAATTCAGTCATTCCCGTATAATTCATACAATTACCAAGTCCATAGTATTGAAAAACGAATTTAAGAGCAATGATATAATTTTGTGTTTAATTGATAAAGTAAACATCCTTTGTTAATAAAATGAAATTTTACACGTAAATCTTTCTTCGTTTTGTTTTTATGGCCATTCCAACTCACCACATGCAAGAACTCCGTAACGGAGGTTATAACTCAGTAAAAGCAGCTGTAAAGTTATCAAAATCTTTGTTCATGTTTTAATTTTTATTGAAGTTCGAAGCTTTATCAATATACAGCTAAATTATAACAGAAGAAATTCTGAACTGCAAACATAAAAAATATTGACTAAATATGTGTAAATCAAGATAACAGAATTTTTGGACAATAAAATAAACACTATTTTCCAGTAGGAATATCGTCAAGCAAACAGATTATTACATTACTTGACCACTTGATTTGAAAAATGAAAGGATATATCTTTAGAATGAAAGACCTTTTCTGATTATAAATTGACCACTTTTAAAAGAAAAGTTGATATACAAATTGCTCCAAAATTGTAACAGGTTACACAAACTCATTTTGGAGATTAAGAGATAAAAATACTTTGTAAAACGTGTCAAACACACTTTGAAAATAATGTATTTACACAATTAAGAGTAAAACTAAACTGTTTTCCCCTCTTTTTTAAAGCAATTTACCAAAAAATGTTTCGTTACGGAGGTTATTATGAATATTTTTAAAATAAGAGTAAAACGAATTTTAGACTTCCTATCAGCTTTACAAACTTATGTCGCTCAGCATTACTAATTTTTTAAGGGTCAATCAACTTACTCAAATATTTATTAATATGTTACTGTCTTTTTTAACTGCAAATGTGAAAGTGAAGATTTAAACTTCTATAACCTCCGTTACAAAATTCGTTTCGAAGAATCGGTGTGAATGCGTTTACCTAATGGCGAATTTAAATAAGAATAATTGGAAAACATACTTTATTTGTAAAGAAAGGATAAAAATATTTGTTTTAACGTTTTTTAGGCAAATACATTTAACCCAAATAATTTTAACCTCCGTTACGAAATACCTTACTGAACCCTGTAATAATGAAGTGATTTATTGAATCATTGTGAAGTAACTGTCACCATGGTCACACATAAGCATAATTTTTTAAGAAAACTTATTTAATATATCAGAATATGTGAAAAATTCACTAAAAGACACGAAAATTCACTTGTTGCAGGAAACCCAACCTCCGTAACATCGCTGGTTTTTCGTATAAAAGAGTATAATTTCACTGTATACCGCTGATAGTTCACATAAGGGTGGCCTTTTTGTGCCCATACGCATTACGGACTATTAGACATTTACAAAACGAAAAAGAAACACTATAATTATTATTTGTAATATGCAAAAACATCTAAGTTAAGGCCATTTTTACCACAACATTTTCAAAAATACCTTTATTTCATGCTTTAAACTCATTATGATTCTTATATTCCATTTTGTTGTCAACTTAAAGAGTAAACTTCCAGCATTATCTGGTAGATTTAAACAGAAATATTGCACACGTCAGATTTTGTTGATTTTCTGTTACGGAGGTTAGAGGTTACGGAGGTTAGAACCATCAATAATATCTTTATTTCTGAATTGTTGTTTAACTTTCCTTACATTTGTTTTTTGTTTACTAGACATACCCATTGGTGTCAATCAACTGCCTTGAAATAGTACTTCACATAGCCTCTGTTTCTTCACAATCACTGTCACGTAGGTTAGGTTCTTATATGCGACATTAAAAAAAATCCGTATTTTTAAAAATTTTGAACACGGATTTATTAATTTGCTTTAAAAAGGATTCTGTGCTAAAGTTTTAATATATATTAGACACAAAAACACAGATTTAGCTCTACTAACGATATATTGTATTATCTTAAAAACTATTCAAACACTGTTACGGTAGGTTAGGTGAAATTTGGCGACAGCGATGATCAAGGTCTGTTTAAAAAATTGTTATTCATTTACCAATTAAAGTTTCATTTATATGATTTTGACATGTTTCTTCATTAATTAAAACAATTTTTGTTTGTTTAGAACAAAATGCGACCAGGTTATGCACATTTAACCAGCAAGGTATACGATGGCGACATCGCCTTTTACACGATTCCGGACTTCCTTTTGTGTTAATACTCGGAGAAAAAATATCAAAAAATATAACAGCTAATATTATTTTGTGTGGCAAAATATGTTAACATAAAGGGTCAAGGAATAATTTGAATATCAGTAACCATAGCTTTGAAATGTATTGAAATGTATCGGCGACATAGCGTTTTTTCATTTGTATGAATTATACGGGAATGACTGAATTAACGAATGAAATGAATATAGAAAAAGTAAGATTTTTCGCATTTTTTCTTTAAACAAAAAAGTGTTTATGATATCCTGCAAATGGGAATTTCTTTTTCTCGCCTTTTCCGTGTCTTGATCACACTGAGATTTCTCGTACCACCACTTCTTTTTGAGGCGATCTAATTCTCCGTTCTCTCGGAGTTGAAGTACAGCCAATGTCAGTGGATCTCTGCCAAAGATCATTTGAAACATCTACAGTGTACGTAATCACACCTTTTTAATCATTTATTCATTGATATTACAATAATATAAAGAGGCTCTAGTTGTAGGTGTATACCGATAAAGCAATGTGACAAAATACTCACCTGAGTTCTGAATCGACTGGTGTAGCTATTCCATATCCTTTAGAATCTAGATTAGAACCTACTTTCATGGTATTACAAGGCTTTTGAGTATTGATATATTCATTTGTTGTGGATTCTACAAGAAATGCGTATTTCTTTCCATTGGAATTCCTAACTTTTTCGAACCCCTGACTGTTCTTTTCTACAAACACGTTTTCTGCTGACGTCATATAGGCATACATTCTCTCGTATAAAGCAAACTTTGATTTCTGCCAAGAAAATTAATTTTTTTAAAATAATGTACTTAATCTGATACATGATTCTTAAAATATAAGCACTTCCCTATTTTATATTTTGTTTTGAACTGTTTTATACATCCAATCTTTTGTAGACTTACTTTAAAAAATTCGTATGTAGCGCCCTCTTTCAGACATCCATATTGGATTTTTGTTTGCTTAGCCAGGTCCTCTACAGAACTAATGGGTGTATTCATTCTATCCACAGTGAGAAAAGCAGCGAGATTTGCAGTATATGATGATATAATAATTAAAGTGAAAAACCACCATACACTTCCTACAATCCTCCCTGAAATGGCCCTGTAAAGATTTTATATACTAGTACTAGTATGTAACAGAAATATTGTTGATGATTTTTTTGAAAAAAGTAAATGGTCAAAACTTTGGCCCTCTATTTTTTTTTTCAGTGTAACACAGCAAAGGAAAAACTAAAAATGATTTTGCATTTGATTTAAATTTGATAGGAAAACTTTTATCAGGGATAATCTTTGTACTTACTTTGGAGAAATATCACATCCTTGTTGCATGAAGGCACCGAGTGAGTACCAAAGACTGTTCGATATTGTAAAGTCGTTTGTAATGTTCTTATCATCAACATGCCATTCAGAAGGACTGAATCTACTGACTAAGAACAGAACAACACTCACTCCCACATAGGCAAACAAGATGCACATCCAGATCTCCGAGGATAAAGGGTCCATAAAGGAAAATATGTGTGCGCCTTCATCGGCTGGTTTCTTGATCATAATACTGATTCCCAGGCTCATGTAAGGTTTCGTAAAATCAACAACTCTTTCCCGAGTAGAAGAAATTGTTATTGGTGCAACAGCCATGTCAGCTTTCTGTGAAATATATAATGATAGTTGAAACCCATGAAGTACAAAGATATTTGTTAAAGGATCGGATTCAAAATAATTACAACCCTCTCCAAAAATAAATTATGGTCTAACCCACTGGCGATCAAATACATTTGAACATTGAATTAATGGTATCTTTTTGTTCGACATTTAGTTTTAAAAAGGTATTTTAATTTTATGTATTGATGTAACAGTTGTTTCATGTGTAAAATACGTACAATATGTATAGCCTAACTGCATTTCACCACAACTTGTTTGCCTGGAGCAGTTCCTTCAAGACCATTCAGGTTATATTTTTTGTGGACATAGTTTTATCTTCGTTTATTGTACTTTTGTATTTTCTTTTAATTACACAAACTTAAAAAAAGATATATAAAAGATTTTATATGGAATTCTTTTTAAAATAGTATCATCCAAATTACAGTTTGTTGCCAAGTTTAAATGTCAGTATCAGTGGAGGATGCTTTTGTAGAAATAAGGAGTCTCGTGCTTTCTTCTAAAGAAATCTAACCCCCCTCTTAGTATAGATGGGAAACAACTGTAGGTTAGTCTACTCAAAAAATAACAATTATTTGTCATCTATGAAATTAACAAGCATAACAATTTGGTTACAAACACGTTTATTTATGCTGCTCTTATACTTTCTTCTCAGCGATACCTCATGAATCTTATTGTTAGTAATAACATTGTATCTAGAAGAATATAATTGTTAATTTAATTATGAATTCTAGTGTACATGTATTAGCCTTATATCTGAAAAAATATGGTTAATAAAAAAAAAATTTGATCCACGCTTTCACTGTTTTATTTAACTTGAATATAGGAAAGAATGTGTATTACAAATAACTTATTAATTACGAATTGAATTTATTCAAAAATAAATTAAGCATAAGAAAATTAAAATTCCTAACAACAGACAAAAGTAAGAAAAACAAATCTTATTTTCTGTATATTTCATGAAATTCGTATTTGTTATGTGTTTTCTATGTTAAGCAACAGTAAATAAAATGGCAGCTCGCAGTATATCTACGAAAGAAGCATATTTAGAAAACTAAATCAAAAATATTATCAACATTACACATTAAAGACAGAATACGAAATGTTGCATTAAGGAGGGATTCTTTTTCAAGTTTTCTTTATCTAAAATTAAAGAAAATTTCTCATATTGAAAATATTGATTTCTTAAAAATGTAATCTGAATTCATTATTCAGTAGTTAGATTGAAAAGCAAAACATTTTTTATGGTGGGCAATGAATGTAGGTATCCGCTACATTACCAGCTCTAAATATCATCCAAGATTTTTTTCTCAACAAAATGTACTTTGAAGATTTTGATGTGTTAGAAACCTGACATGACGCCGTGCAAATGTTGAACATAAGAATCTTAAAAAATATGCTTTATTCAAGTGTGTATCCGGTTTTGATCTTCCTTGCTTACTAACTTGAAATAAACTCTCCAAAATCATAAAATTTACAACGTTTTTAAAGTCTTCAACTTTTTAAGGATTGTGAAAAAAAATTGTAGCCCACAGTTCAAACTGTGTAGAATTTTTTGTCGCTACTGTGAACAGTATAAATTTAGATTTAACTCCGTTCTCTCCTTTACCTTTTGCATAACTTCCCCGATCATTCCATTCCAGGTCTGATTTGGCTGGATGGATCCATACTGACCGTCTTGAACTATACATATAGTATAGTTTGTAATATTAAGGATTTCAGTCACTTTCTCTGCTAAATCAATACAAAAGCCTTCGAAGAATGAGTTCCCACACACTCTTTCTCCCTTAGCTTTCATTTGTTTCACTTCGTCTTCGTATTCTTTTTTGATGAAAACATATGGTGGATCCTGCAAAACTCAAAAAAATATGTCAACATTTTTGTCTTCTTTTTACTGCTTTTTTACAAATCGATGTCTAACAATAGTCCATTTTCTTTCTACTTAGCAGAATACTGACATTCATTGTTTATTCATCTTATTTATATTTTGTCTGAGATACATGTATAGTGAAGAGTTTGAAGTGACGTACATCTATAGTAGTAATGATCCGCTCTTGATGAGTGGAAACTTTAATATCATTTTTCTTTGTTGGATGTTTCTGCACCTTTATCTGGGACGTGTTCAGCATTTCTAAACGTGCACCTATCTCCTCACTAGATATCCACTTCCCGATCTGTAAACATACAATTTAAATTGTGTTAATATCAAATTATTGATTTTAATTGATAATTACTTTTCAGATTAATTGTGGGGGGAAAAGTCGTACAAAATGACGAAATATCGTACGTTTAACGAATTGGGTGTTATAAAAATTTTTTGGTAACAATTTGTAATTTTGAATTTTCGAAAGTTCTTTTGAGCCGCTTATGGTTTAAACAACTTTTCAAATCTACTGTTGAACAGTACTCCCCTGAAATTTATAAACAATTATATATAAATAAATAAAATAAAATCACTAATTAGAGTTTTATTCCAGCATCAAATTCACTTTATTATACCCCCAGCTTGAAAAGTGGGATGGAATATAGTAATCGGGATTTCCGTCCGTCCGTCCGTCTGTTAAATTACGCTTTTTCTCTTATCCGCAACTCCTCTTATACTACTGAGTGAAATTAAATGAAACTTTCACAGAATATTTATTACATATTGCCATTGTGCACCTCCTATTTTACTTTTTTTATTCGACACATATTTTAGGTTTCCCATAGCAAAACATGGAAATTGCCATTATATGTTTACCTATGACGTCATGTATAGAAGCTTCTGGATAACATTTGATAGGACGAGTTACATGTACTCCTCTTTACACATTACCGTAAAACAATATATAGCAACACATGGACATTATGGGAGGCGGGGGTATCATTTAGCGAGCTCATTGCTCACAGTATCTCTAGTTTAAATCGATTTTATATTGTTAAATTGTAAAAGCTTCGGGATAAAATAGAGCAAGGCCTTGCTTTAATTTTAAAATCCATCAAGCATAAATCAAAGCTTATAATTATCGGGGGGGGGGGGGATTCTTTGGGGGGGGGATATGCCTTGTAACCAAAGTCTCAAAAACGCGTAGAGTAAAATTAGTTCTGATCCCATCCTCGTCAAGTATTCTTTGTTATTTTTTTTGGATAAATAGATATCAAATATAGAGAAAAAGCCCCAGAAAGCATAATTTCCTATTATTATTAGCATACATGTTAAACGAATGAAAACGTAAAAGTTTACTGTAATATTTTTAAAATAAACAAGTATATACTGACAAAACGTCAGAGATACTCAAGCTGTAGAAAGTCAAATTTCATTAATATCCTATACATAATGGTATATGATGAGTGCTGTTGGGTTCAATCTTCTGTTGAATAAAATACATGTACATGAAACAAAATTCATATATGGAATTTAATTAGAATAAAGATAATTAATCGTACTGCTTTTTAAGATGAATTTACATTACTCACTTTCAGAAATATTATATAGAGCATGGTGGCCGTTTCTTAATTTAATTTAATATTTTTTTTAATATTGATATACTTCAAACTATATATACCTTTTTTTTGTTTTTCGTTTTTTGTTTTGTTTTGTTTTGTTTTGTTTTTTTTTGCTTAATGAAGTACATCAATCATAATTTAATATACATCAATCCAAATAGCTTGTTACAAGTCTACAGGTAGAAACGTTTTTCAAACTGGGTCCGGGCTCTAAAAATTCCACGTGAGTACGGGTTCATCTAGCTGTGCATATATACATATTCCGTACGATATATGGGTTCCGTTACCAAAGCTGAAGATAACTAGTACGATTTTTTGAAATAAAAAAAACATACGAGGGAGAATTTAACATTAATGTTGTGCTATTATTTTACTGTCACTCAAAGTGCATATGCACAAATGAGAAGCAGTTTCAAAAGATACGTTTTCTGGCCATACATATAGAATTTGAAAAACCTGCGTCACCTTTCAGAGTAAACAGTGGAGCATAAAAGTTAATTTACGCAAAGGAAAGCGCTAGAAACTGTTTAGCTTATTGTTCATTCGCCATAGAAAAGAACGACATTTAACGCTTAATATCTTTGAATATACAGAAAACGAAATATTTTTATCTACAAAAATAATAGTATTTTAACTGAGTAAATCGATGATAGCATTTTTAAAATAAAAAATGTCAAAAATTTGTAGGCTTTTTTCTTTTTTAAATCTTTGCCTTAACACTAGAACAAAAAAAAAGAAAGTCACTTACATAGTATTAAAACGCATATTTTTTTTTCTAAGTAAAATTAAAGTGGCCAGGTCTCACTGAAAGAACGGGACAAAATCAAGTCCTTAGTTTTTGATAAGATTGCTCTTAATTCATACATTATACATGTAATTGCCCTTCAAAATGATTTTTTTTAATATTAAAAACTTTAATTAGATAATGACGTCACCTTCTGAAGCGCTGCTTTGAGTTCTTTTCTTTTTTTAAGCGTATCCTCTCTATTTGTTACGTCTAGGTCCATTTTATGGAGAACATTTCTCACGAAATCCACAGTATCAGTCACCAATACCTGGTAATCCTGTAAAGGGGGGAGTGAAAATTCAAATTTAAAACAGTATTTAAAAATTTCTGTGTCAGATAAAAAATCGCAAGGTCATAACATTATTTCCATTTGATACTATACTATTAGATATAGTACATCATTTCCATTTGATACTATGCTATTAGATGTAGTACATTATTTCCATTTGATACTATTCTATTAAATATAGTACTGTACTCGTTGAAGCATACTGTATTATTATGATCAACATCCAGTCTGAATCCGGTGATGTTGAGACCTTGTGAATGAATGGTTGCGTTCATGTTGTACAATCCCTAAAAACAGATTCAACATAAAAGATAATTATGCCATTATTTTGCAAAGAACGTATCCACATCCCACGAAAAGAGAAAAAAACATCAATGGTACAAATAATAAATAGATAAAAAATAATCAAGACAATATCTTTCATCATTCATCAATTAATAATTAATTTTAAATTCACTTAGAACTTTTGCTGAGGCTGTTGTAGATAGCTTTAATTTTTAAAGAATATGTTCGACAATGAGAAATAAGTCCAATATAAAAAAAAAAATTTTCGAAAAGTATTGCACCAATTGAACTGTAATTTTCAGTTCATTGTTATAAATTTTTCATTCACCAAAGGGAAATGGTAATAAAACTTACATGTTGTAAACGTATTTACAACGTGTTGCAGTCTTCATGTACTTCCTAACTTTAGAGAATACGAGACAAACTTAGAAAAATCAGCTGTCACTGCTACTCTGTAAACTCGAAATAAACACAACACGACAGCTGATTTTTCAAAGATTGTCTCGTATTATCTAGAGTTAAGAAGTGCATGAAGATTTCCGGAAAATCAGAAAAAAGTATATGATATGTATGAGATAAAACATATCATATAAAACATGAGTCAAATATATGATGAGACATACTCAGAGAAAAATATATTGGTACTTACCAAATTAGACAAAAGAATATGAAATCGAAAATTATTAATCTTTGTATCTTCTTTCTAAAAAAAAAAATAAATCCGTATCTATGAAGTGGTCTTGGAAGTTCTTTAACTTTAAATTCAAGCAGTTTCTACCTTCATAATCACTTACCAATCTGGACATTACTGCCTGACTGTCCTTGAGGTTTAAATGCAGTAGAACCCGAATACTTCCCATTTCCTTGTTATATACCTGTTTTATTTTCTTATAACAGTCATCCAAATGACGAACACGCAATACAATCAGATCGAACCTCAACTCCTGGATATGAATTTCGTTTAACAGTTGCTGAAATTCCAGCAAGCCTGCAAATCATATTTGTTCATTAAATATGGTGGGTAAAATAACACTGGCTTTATTTATGTTATTATATTGATGCCTTTTTAAAATGATAATCAGTTTTTGTATACTGTGACAAATTCTCTTGTTAATATGAATACGCGACAGCTTCTGGGCCCCCGAAATATCAATAGAAATTGATGATTATCTTTATACGTAATATATTAATTTGATAAAAAAAAAAAAAAAAAACATAGTAAAAACTTTGTTAAAACAGATTTGAAATTCACTTGCCTTCATCGGAATCGTAAAAATAGTAAACCTTTTCCCACTGCTTGTGAAACATTACATCCACAAGACCCCCAACAAATGCTGGCCTCATAAACAAATGGTATGATCCTGTTAATTCGGACTTCAAGCTGCACAAAGGACCAACGAACAAAAACGCCAAATCGTGGTAATCAGCATACGACTGAAGGGTAGGTAAATGGCAGGTGCGAGTTACAGCTATGATGCCCAGTAGCCAATTTCTCTTTAAAACTTCATCATCGACTAGAAAAGACAGTCGAAATCCTGTCATTCACAGTGAAATCAACGTTTCTTCGCCTTGCAGTTTTGAAAAGGGATTCAACATTTTTCATTAACAAAGTTTGATACCATTCTTTATTACTATTCTGTGTATTTACTTAAAACAAATAGTTTTGGAGATTCTCCTAATTAAGTTTTTTTACTCACTACCATTTCTTACACTTTACACTTTACGAGGGGTTATCAAAAAGTTCGTGGACTGGGGCTATAAAATTAGTACTATGCAGTCTGTGCTTTCAAAATTTATATGGGATATAAAACAACAAAAAATAAAGAAAAGCTGAAAATTTTAGCTTGATACGTTCATTATTTGCCAAATTATTATAAAATAAAAACGACATTATATGATCATCCGGTGCTGTCGCCCTTTAGTTTCATGACGTCCGATAACGTCATTGGTTTTTAATGTGTGCTTCTTCTAATACAAATAGATTTTTGAGTAAGGACTTAATCCGCCTTGTTTATATGACTTTACAATGAATGAACAGCGGCTTTCAATGAATTTGATATAACAAATGGATTTAAACAATGGGAGAGATCCTCACTCGATTTTGCCAGCATATTTTGCTTTTGGGAGTTCAATATCTACAACTAATGATTAACGTCATTTTTTTGACGTGATTGATTTTTCACACCTTGACTACAAATCGACATAAACAGTGAATCCCCTTTCTTCCTGAATCTATTTTGACATTAAAACACAAGTACTTTGAATGTATATTATTTCTCTGTAGCCAGTTTAAACATTTATTAAGTCTATACCAGTATTTTCAGACGCAAAACTTTACAGAATGTTGTTAAAGGAAACCCCTCCCCCTTTTTGACGTCATTTTCAAGGCCTTCTTTGTTTGAACACTCCGTGTAAAAATTTATGATAAAATTTCATAGAATTTCCAGAATGAATTAAAAATTTCATATTTTATTTAACAATTGTGTCCCAACACATACCTGAATAAGCGAGATTTTTGGATGTCACATGTTCATATCAATAGAGTTTTTCTCAGTTAAACTAAGGTCGCAAAAACGTCTTGTTCGAGGTTGCGCGCCTTGACATACCATTGCTTACAAAATCATTACTAATTTATTTAAAAATAAATATTATACTTTATTGTTTATTCTGTTGATAAAAAAGATGATGCTTACTAGATATTTAAAAATTCATTGATGTACCTAAAGCGGTTTTAATTTTATATACTTTTTGTACTTATAAACAATTGCAAAGGATAATAAAGTTTTTAAAGTCTCAACAACTTAAGATAAAAAAAATTATGAATATTTTATGTAGTACTAAACTGCAATAAAAGAACGTACCCATAAGATATAATTGCATTTAAACCTGCAACCTTCGTTAAGAACACTGAAATTATTTTAAAAAAGAAAAAGAATAATGGGGTCAGTATCCCCCAATACATGTTTAGCTTATTCAGATGGGTGTCCTCCTTCTTTTCTTCATTTTAATGACATACAATACCTGCTTTTCCTACTGCTAGACTGTCATTGAAATCGACTTCTAAATAGTAAAAATCCTCATCTTTGACGCTTTGTCTGAATATTCTCAATTCTTCCTCTGTATTCTTGTCAAAAAATGTAACTGAAAGAACAAGCATTCTGTGTTAGGTTGAATCTGTTCTAAGACTTACCGTTACTTATATTGTGTTAACTGTAATATTATTTATATTGTTACATTTTGCCCTTTTCCCTGCATTTCATGTTACGATACCTGTGGCACCGGTAATAGCAGTGTTCCACTGATACTTATGGGTGGGAATAGTAAATCATATGATTTTTTAATTTTCTACAAAATGTAAAACGTATCAATTGCATATTTTTAAATTACAGTTAAGAATTCATTTTACTTGATCATGTAACATGACTGATACACCTACTGAACCCACTCAGCGTAAACAGTAAATTATACAAAGTCTGTAATTCAGTGTTAATGCGAAGATTCTATCTTTTTGGGAAAGACAGTAATATTTCGATCGATGCAAAATTCAATTGAGACATTGGGAACCGCAACTAATGGCTGCAGGAATGTGCGGATCAATAGTATTTCTTCTATCTATTGCTCCACACGCGTTTTATATAAACGGTAGTTAATACAGAGATTGAATCAGTCTTTGACCATTTATTCCTAGAGATAAAAGCCCCAATAGAGCACAGAAAATGCCATAACTAACTGTAAACACTGTCATATGGTCCATGTTAAAATTAGAGTTGAACATTCTTTTAAAACTCATATTAGACTTTTAAAAAAGATTTTTTTTTAAATATTCGGATAAAAATTGATTTAATCTTCGAGAAAACGGCAGTAGAAATATTATTTAGATTCATTTGGTCCCAAAATTATCAATAAAAAGGTCATATAAATTGCTCTTACCTATTCTGTTACTCTGTGACACAGCGTCTTCTATACTGCTGCACAGGAGGAGAAACAAGAAAAGAAATATTCCCTCCATTTTCCCCAAATGATGTAATTCTGTGTGTAAGGGAATGCAACCGGATCACAACCCTTCTACACATCCGGTCTTCTTGATTACAGTATCCACAAAATCGGTCGATGACATCCAAACACGTGGTCTAACTTTCATGTACATCGACGATTAAAAAAACGAATCTTTTTCTGTATTATTAAAAATTCAAATGTGATGTACAAGATGTGATAACCCTTGTAATCTATCGTTTCTGCTGGCACAGAACAAATTCTGGACATTTGATCGTAGAATCAGTTAATAAACTGTGTAAACGTGAATCACTATTTTTAATCATTTTTTCAATGCACAAATGTATTCTGGTTAACGTTCTATAGCTTTCCTATCGATATACATATATAGTTGTGAAAGCAAATAATTATTGCATTGAAACATCAGTTGAAATGGTTAGCATTTAGTTTTGATATTCAATTATTTTCTATTACCCAAAACACTCATAAATAGTTAATGCATTTCAACCTTTTACGGAGAGTATTGGAGTTACCATAACCGTTAACGTTTTAAAGGATACTTAAAGCTCACTTATCCATGTGTGGATTTATAAAACCCACCATGAATTATCTTATTGCTTACTTTGCCTACCAAATGAACAATTTCTTTTCCAGAATAAATTAAACGTATGGGAAACTCAGCAATAAGGTAATCTAGATTTTGACCATTCCAATATTATATTCCGAAACATTTATAAAAATTGTTGTAAATTTATTTTCATTCATTAGTTTCAAAACTGAAATGTGTGATTTTATTAAAAGACAGAAGTTGTTTTTAATGAATACATTTACAATAATGTTTTCAGATTTTGTCTTCTATGACCCGCTTTTACATTTTTACGAATCAGGATTTATTTATACCTCTTCATGAGAATAAACACCTCTTGGTATTCCTTAACATTTAGATGAAATATGGAGATAACGTACCGTAATTAGGCTAAAGAATCAATTGAAACAAAACAAATTATACAAACATGAACCAATGAAAACATTGATATCAGAAGGATCAGAGAGATCGGGTGCCAATGAGAAGTTAACATCCCCTCCGGGCTGTCAGGTCACGCCCGCCGTGTTTTCCTTGTATGATGTAGAAAATCCTTAGACGAATCAGTGTGTATATAACGTAAACAATAAATATGAAAATCATATTCAGTCAGCATCCGATTTATTGATAGATATTTCGAAGTTATTTTGTTTGTTGCACCTGTTTCATATTTTGGTTGTTCAGTGACAATAAAGTTTTATCTACTCTACTCGAGGATGCTTCCCCATATACATGTTTATGACGGACCTCTTTTTTTTTAGGAAAAGAGTAAAGGGATTTCCTTATATTCCTCTAGAAAACTTAATATCTCCTTAGGGGTTATTATTTTATCATTTATTTATTTGTTAGGAGCCTTAAGCGCATGGCCTTCATTTTTTCTGGACCCGTGGATATTTCAAAGAATCTCCAACGCAATGATTTAATAAACTTTTTAGTTTAATCGTCAACTTCCCTTATTTATGCAGCAATATCTTTTCATTTCCTGCATACGGGGTTTTTATCTCTCAGTTGATTCGATACAAAAGTATGTGCTCTATATATGGTCAATTTCTAAAACGATGTAAGTTATTGACAATCAAGTTGATGAAACTAGAACACCAGTAGTCTCGTTTAAAGTCATCGTTTCCTAAGTTCTATAGTCGATACAATGACCTTGTCAGCAAATATTATACAATTTATGATCTTGAATACTGTTCGTAATCTCCATACATTTCATATTCTTGTCCTTATTTATCTATATTTGATTGAGACTACTGAGCTTATTTGAAGGAATTTGAATCCTCTTTACATAAGGATATATTGTGTCAAGATTTGGTTGAATTTGACCCAGTGGTTCTAGAGAAAAAGATTACATTCTTAATAATTTAAAGTAAAATTTTGATCAAAAGAGCTCATTTGGGCTAAAAAGTACTGAATAACAGTCATCCCCGTGAAGTATTTTTTAATTGAAGTTGTTCAAAAATTTAACTTTGATGAAAAATGTTTATTTCAGAGGTGAAATATGAAATAATTTTTTTGTTCTTTAGTTCTGGACAGTCATGACATAAGACCTGTTTCTGTTACCAAGAGTTTCTTTTTTGTTTCCCTCTTTTGAATTTCCAAAACGATATTTCTTTTTGGCATAGTTCGAATTTCAGCGGTGAATAATATTTATTTGCTTATTCATTGATCCCATCAGAATTCATTTGAAATTGTATCAAAACAAGAATATGCAGTAATAATACCGAAGATTTAATATTCCTTGAAGCTATGGCAACAATAGCAGATAGTATGTGTCAAATAGTAAACATACACACCAAAAATTATATCAAATTAAAATCATGTCTTTAATTTTTAAATTTTCATCCAATTTTAATATTGAATGAAAGTACATGTATATATTTACATGTATGATGTCTTATGATGAAGCCTCAATCGCCTGGCTATGTGACCCATGTGTTTATTTTTTGTAAATAACGACCTTTCTGTCACTACCTATTGCACTCATGTAATTTTGTAGTGTTCCCTTATTCTATATTCAAGAATGAATATTTTCCTTTTTGTGTAAAGTTATTTAATTATAATTTTTCAGTTTATTTCGTTTTTTATTCCACCAATAATAGACAGAACAAGGCATTAAATAATTTTGTATAAAATAACATCTTAAAAATAAATTCCACTTCAATTTAAGCAATTTATTTTTTCATCGTCAAAAGTAAAGCACACATATTATTTTAACTATATATATTTGCCTTATCAATATTTTCATAACATTTATAAAACACTTCCTGAAGTATAAGTAAATTCTTTTTTTATCAAAGAAAGTTATATGCATGTACAAGTAAATTCCATTGCAATCTAACAAAGTTACATGTATGTGCATATTGCATTCTAAATCAATAATAACAGAAAAAATATCTATTCCTTCCTATCATACATATGAACAATATATATACAAAGTTAATTGTATGTGCATATTGCATTCTAAATAGATAATAACAGAAAAATATCTATTCCTTCGTATTGTACATATGAGTATAAAAATATTCGATTTTTCTGCAGAAATCACACTTGGGTGTGGGTTTGGAGATCATTGTATGGATCAAAGCCCGGATGTTGCGAAGGCCCAGGATAGGTGTACTAAAAAGATTTTTCATAACCAATAACATAAAATTTGTGTTTGTTACCAACAATTTTATTTTCCATGTCCATACAGAAGAAATAAGATAAAATGTACACGTAGGTACAATTATTTTTAATGCACAGAATATATTTTGAATATGAATATGAATGAACAGTCTTCTTCTTCTAAAAAAAGTAAAACGTTTAATCTGTAAAACAAAATCATGGAATTTTTTTTCACTTATTTCCCCTTTTTGAAATTATAGGATATCAGTTTGTTTCTTCTGATTTTATTTATTTTTCTGTAAGGATTTCTTGTTGGTATTTAATAGCAAGAGAATTTTAAATAAAATATTTGTAACTTCGAAATTTTATACTGATTTAAATGAAGAAAATAAAGATAATCCTTGAAACATTTTGAATAGATATGAATCTATACTTACTGAAGGGGCGTTTTTCTTGAGAGGAGTAGTTTGACCAGAACTGCTGTCAATCGAACCACGGAAAGAGAGACGTGCTTTGCACATGAGCATGGAACCAAACGAAGTCTGTGAAAGAAATGTACTCTACAAAGTTACAATCTTATTTTCTTTTCCTCAACAAATAAATTTGTCATTTTAATAAATTAATCATTTTCTATGATGACTTATTTTATAATACCTTAGTGTTAGAAATAAAAGTTTTTTTTTTACTTTATGATAGTATTGATTGAATGAATTGTATTATAAAAGTACATGTACCTTAGATTTTCTGGAATCGAGGATAGTCTTGTATAAAAACTCAATGCCAGCCACGACAACAGACAAAATGAGGCCACATGACAAAATGTAGAAAATTCCAGCAACATTTTTTAGGGTTAAGGATGCCTGGGACCCATCCTGAAAGAAACGGTATATAGAATGAGGTCAACATGCAAATGAATGAAAAGCATCAAATAGATTAAAAAAAAAAACAGCACAAAAGAATGTTTTAAGATTTTCACTTTCACAACTTCAGAATTTTTTCATTTTACTCAAAAACCAGGCTTACATTCGGTCCTTCTTCGGGGCACTGTGACATGTCATCAAACCAATGCTTTTTGATCTGAGCCAGTTCACCAGATTCTCGTAAAGCCAGTACTGCCAGAGTCAACGTGTCCCTAAAGGTAATGAAAATTATTCATGAAATGGTAATTTTCAAAGCTACGTGGTTCAAGTATCTATTAATTGTATCTATTAATTGAGACACATTTTAATAAATCAATGAAATTGGTGAACGGAATCCTAAACGTAATGAAGTTTCTTCAACTATTTTAATCTAAAGCTTAAAGATAATGTCTATGAAATTTACATATAACCCACTTATGGAGAACTCGAAAATGCAAGTCGCCCGCGTGGCGCAGTGGTTAGAGCGTCTGCTCTCGAGTCGCGAAGTAAGGAGTTGATTCTTATGCCGCGGGTTCGAATCCCACTGTGGGACGTGGAGACCGGTCCTTCGGATGAGACCATATAAACCGAGGTCGCAGTAGGTGCTGGCACAAAAAAGATCCCTCCCTGCTCAATGGCCCTGAGTGCCGAGTATAGGACAAAATTTGCAGCTCTCCACCGGTAAGTGGTAGCGTCTCCATATGAGTGAAAAATTCTCGAGATGGACGTTAAACAATATACAATCAATCAATCGAAAATGCAAACACCTTACAGTCAGACAACATATAAAAGTTATATGATGTTTGTTCCAGGAGATCAAAATAGTGTTTCCCATATCATGGGGTTTTTCCATATAAAAGCAATCTGGACAATTCGTTATGCAATTTAAGCAGATGAAATTGAAAATATTTCTTGGTTTAATCATTATCAAAAATTAAATTTGGGATTTAGTTTTATCTAAGAAATATGGCTTAAGACCTTAAAATGGAACTAGGAGGCGTAGCAATCCCGTAACCCTTTGAATCGAGGTTAGAGCCGATTTTCATAGTGTCACAAGGCAGCCGCAAATTTGTATACTCGTTGGTAGTTGATTCTAGCAGGAATGCATACAGTCCATTCGAATCTCTTACTTTCTGTATACCAAGTGCTGTACTTTTCACGAAAACATCTGGTACAGAGTTCATATAGGCAAACATTCTCTCATACAATGCAAATTTTGATTTCTGTAAGAAAAAAACAGTAGATGTAACTAAGTAAATATCTTTAACCGTTTTTTTTATACCACTGTCCATTCATTCAATTTTTATCCATAGAAACATTCTAAAAGTTTTACAACAGAAGTATCTGCTTTGTTTCTTTCTAAATATGGTAGTAAGTGAAGGAAAAGATATTTTTATAATTAAAAAACAAAAACAACGCAATTTAATCTTACATTAAAGAAGCTGTATGTTGCACCTCCGTCAAGACAGCCATATTGGATTTTCGTTTGCTTGGCCAAATCTTCCACAGAATTTATTGGTGTATTCATTCTGTCTACAGTGAGGAAGGCTGCGAGGTTTGCAGTGTAAGAAGAAATGATGATCAACGTAAAGAACCACCATACACTCCCAACAATTCTCCCAGAAACTGCTCTGAAATAAGCAGATCAAGTATAATTGCACATCCACAATGGCTATTGTTTTTTCAAGATGAATGTCTTCAATGTTCTGTGGATTTACAATAAAAAGAATCAAAGCTGTGGTACTTACGAAGGGGAAATATCACATCCTTGCTGCATAAATGCACCAAGTGCATACCACAAACTATTTGAAATAGTAAAGTCATTTGTGATGTTGGTTTCATCTACCTTCCATTCCGCTGGGCTGAATCGACTGACAAGGAATAACACCACACTTACCCCAACGTAGGCGAATAAAATACACATCCAGATCTCGGACGAAAGGGGTTCCATGAACGAGAAAATATGAGAACCCTTATCAGGAGGCTTTTTTATCATTATGCTAATTCCAAGACTTAAAAATGGTTTTGTAAAGTCAACCACTTTTTCTCTGTCTGATGTGATTGTTACTGGGGCAACTGCCACATCAGCCTCCTGAAAAATATTAAAAAAGATCCTAAAATCACAATTACCTATATCTGATAAAAAATTGAGGTTTTGAAGAATGTTTTGAAATTACTTGATTTAAGAGTTCTCCAATGACACCATCCCAGGACTTATCAGCCAATTCTTTTCCATATTGTCCGTCTTTCACGAGACAGATGTCGTATGTCATGTTGATTTTTTCAGCCACCTTTTCGGCGAGGTCAATACAGAATCCCTGAAAGAAGTGCTTTCCACAAACACGTGACCCATTCTCCCGAAGTCTCTGTACCTCGTCTAGATATTCAGGTTTTACTATCACGTAAGGACCCTCCTTTCAAAAAAGTATACGAAAATATAGTCAAATAAGTTTTCTTTACAATCTGTAATTTTATGACAGGATTAGTCTTCCTCTCCGAAAAAGTGGAATAAATCACAAAAAGTAGATAGAACAAACATTTCGGTTTTCTGAAATAAATTAAATATCTTATCTTTAAGACAATGATTACATGTACCTCTATCGTGGTAATACTAATTTTTAGGTTGCGTAAGATATCAGGTTTTCGATTTGGTAGTCTGGTATGTTCAGATGTGTGAATTCGTAAATGACGTCCCTTAACTGGGTATGGGCTCCATTCCCCATCCTAAATAAATACATAACGGAAATATGAGTTTATGGATGCTTATCTAGATCTATGAACATCTTCTTCTTAATGTTTGTATTTTAAATGATTTGCATGTGCCTTTCTTATTTTTTTTTACTTTTGAAAGGTCGCTTCCTTGTGTTGCTTCCATCAGTTGGAGTTCAAATCTGTCTCTTTCTCCGAATTCATTAAAATTTAAAGTTCCACTTAGGCCGTTGATTGATACCTGGAATGTTTATTTTTCAGTGAAAACGAGTAGAGGGTCATCATCCACATACACATGTAATTCCTCTCAAAAATGCATTTATTAATTTAATGTACGAAAGAGAAGATTAGTAAGAAATGAATATTAAACAGCTTAAAATTTTTAAAATGTGTGTTGATAAAAATAATTCTTTTCTTTACAAAGAATATTTTCCAATTAAGACCTTTTGAAGAATTGCAGTTATGTGCATTGTAGGTAAACAATGTTATATTTCTTTTGTTGACTTTGTTTCATGCGGATGAGAACGTTTCGTATTATAACTGTTTCAACCTTTCTGAGTTCCTTTGTAAATACACCCCTATTTCTCGTTAGAGTAACCGTCTTATTATTGTGACGACATGAGAGTTTCTGGTCCTTTTTGTGCTTAGGGCGAAATCTGACATATGATTCTTTATATGTAGCATTGAAAAAAGCGATGGCATCTCTCAGTAAGGCATGTGTTGGCTGAAATTATATTCATTTCTTTACACCGTTCATAGTCCTCAATACAAAAACAAACATAATATATTCGTAAGTATTGGGTTTGCTTTTACTCTCAGGAAATTTAAGAGAATTATATAAATAGAACTGGAATGAAATATAAAATTCGTCAAAGACGATATGGTATATTCGCTTAAAATAAATACTGCAGAAGGAAATGGAAAACAAATTCACAAGTTATACGTTAACTCTATACTTTTATATTAGTAGTGTTAAATGTTTTCATCCATTCCTTTTCCATCAACACATTCTTTGGCCATATATGCAAACCCGTAAAATTCGCTCCATTTGAAAGAACAGATTCATTCAGTTGAGAAATCCCCTGTAAATATAGACCAAATGATTAAGTCAAAGCTCATTTTCTTATCTACACGAAACTTAAAATTAAACAGCTAAAATAAAATATATTTTAAATGGGTTGTTTATTTTCTTACCAATCTTGTCAGAAGAAAATGAAAACGATTCATCTTTATTAGGGCAGTCTTTTCCTAAAAAAGGGAAAACATGCTTCTTGCACATAAATCTTAAAGACTTGCAACATGTCACTGCTTTAATTTATTAATGTTTTATTCTAATTTCTAACATCCAGGTTTTTCGAAACGGTTTACCAGCCAATACTACAAAAGACTAACACATTTGCAAACAAACTCACAAGTAACTTTATTGTTGTTTCTATTTCCGTTATTGGTAGGTCAAGTAAAAGCCTCAAGTCTGATTCATCATGCTGGTAGAACGGAACGATCTTCTTTTTACATTCCTCAGCATCAGAAATTCTCAGGAATATGATATCCAGTTTTGGCTCTTTCTGGGCATTTATTATGTTAAGTATTTGTTGAAGCCTCAGTAAACCTAAATAAAACAGAAAGCAGTTAGTTCAAGGCATAAGTTGATAGATAAATCAAGGTCATTTCTTTCAGTGTTTTTTTTTTCTTTAAATTTTTAGAGATTTATACAAATTGGAAAACACTCGTGTATTAGCTGAATACTGTAAACCAATTTTTATTCGCGTGCGAGAAATTTTCACGAAGTTTGCGAGCTAGAGCCACGTCATCTCGAATATTTCTCGCCGCGAACCGGTTCTTAAAGTCTATGTGTCTTTAAAAAAAGAGAACCTAAAAAGACTTGATCGCGAAAATGAATCGTCGCGAACTAGTTTAACCCTGGTAAAACGCGAAATAAAGTCGTCGCTAATAAAAGTTGGTTTACAGTATATATTGTATGAACAAAATAAAACTGTATTTTTATATGGGGTCTCTAACCTTCATCTGTATCATATATATAAAACACTCTCTGCCATTGTTTCTGAATGACGATGTCGAGAAGTCCTTGAATAAACACGGGAGTTAAATAGAATTGGTAAGAAAATCTTGTGACGTCTTCGGGAATTGGCGCGCCAGTGATAAGAAAGAATGGCACTTCGAAGGTGTCGCTGTACGACTGAATTGTGGCTAGGGCACACTTCCCACAAACACCTATTATTCCAATGACGTCTTCTTCTAGTTGAGAGCAGACTAAAAGAAATGATTAATTTTCAGTTAATTTTGACATATCCCAAATAGACTGTGAATAAACATTTTGTTGTCTGTACGAAAACTAAAACACAAATTTTAACACTAAATAATCATATGAATACAAAATTTTGCTTTCTTTGCGGCATCTTTCGGGCGAAATTTGTATTTATTCAAATTGTGACTAATGGGGTCTACGAGATGGGTCGTTTTGCAGAAAAATCTCATTTTAAATCTCAGTGAAACATTTGCAGGCCCGCCAGTTAAACTCGGGGATCGCACTCTCTTAATTACGGCATTTAAGTCCCATGGGAACCTCTCTATAACGTTACCAAGCTTCACTCATTTTCCGGCGCATTCTCAGTTAAAATAAATCAATTTTCACATTCAGATCTTCTTCAATTTTAGTTGCCATAGAAACGAATTCCTTGATTCCCTGAAGGAATACTTTATTTGGTTAGAGATGATAATGGTCGTTGGAAGTGTACTATGCCAATTTTTTTATTCGTAAACTTTGGTCGTTTTATTTGAATAATGGTGTATTTCATATGAATGAATAAGCATGATGAGTGTAATACGAGAAATAAAAGTCTAATACTGTTTCAAAGGGGGTTGTTGATATGATTCATCAGAAATTTTTAGATTACTTTTATTTTGTTTTTATATCTTTGTCAATAAGATACATCCACAATCTTTCAACAGTGGGAGGAATGAAAATATCTACCCACAAATGTATTTTTATCTTTTATAATATATTGCATATATAGCATGTTACACGTATTATTGAGGGTTTAAAACGTATTATTTTCAGAAACAAACATGATATACGCAAATACAATTGTCGCTGTTAATTCGTGAAAAAATACAGTAAATCAGTAATAATAGTTTTAATATGATTACTTTTTTCATTCTAGAAAGAAGACATTTTTATAACCCCTATTTAAGACCTACAATGGTTATATAAGTTTAAGTGGGAAGACAGAATAAAGTTTGAATGAAATCAATTAAAACTGTTTCTATTCTAATGATGAATCATATTTGCAAAACTCTTAATTGTTTAGCCTATAATCAAAAGGGGTGAATCCCTTTCTGAAATCTAAACGTAACTTGAAAATGTAAGGTACTTTCAAAACTTTATCTTTTTTCACTCATCGAGACAAAGAATCCAGAACAATATATCAAAGACATTAGCATGAAATATCTATGTGAAGCTTTTTAAGATATTTTTTTAAATATATATATGTATGAGCTTTCATATAATCAGAATTTATAAATTTTGGTATGACTAAGTGAAAAGTTGTATTAAAGTAGCATTTCTGTTGTGTGTTTGATCCGAATTTTACCTAATTGACCTAACTGAATTTTTGTTATTTACAAGTAGGGAGAGGGCGTTATAAGTTTTGAGAACTTGTGCCTAATCCCTTTGTAATTAGAAATTACAATAAAATATGTACAAACCATCTGAATTTTATTTCAACATACTACTTAAAATTCAAGATACGAAGTAAATGTCCAAAGTTAAAAGATTTTAGGTTCAAATTCAGGATTGTAAAAATAATAATAATATCTAATGTTCTAGGTTAATAATGTAAATGTATTTTAGATTTTCAGGATAGAGGCTACTTCCAAGACAAAAACCTACATTGGCTACATTGGACCATAGAAGTCATGTATAAATATTATGGAAGAAAACTTGCTTTCGTTGCTGACGGCGAAACTGTCCGATAGGTCCGTTGTCCTGTTGATGAATGTAAAACTTCTCGGTGAATGATATTTATTGAAGACTGGAATCGCATCTACTGAGTCATGGTCGAATATTATACCTGGAGGAAATTAATTCACATGATAAGAAGTACATGGTTAAAATGTTTAAACAATATATTGAAGTAAAAAATAAGTGCATTAAAAAAAATTAAATGATTCTGAAAGAGTTTAAAGGTATTGAATGCAGTTTGATGCTCTTTGCATACCGTATTCAATATAATTAGTAGTGACTAATGCAAATAGGCAGATTTTTCAGTCAAAGAAATTATACCAAAACTTTCATGTAATGAGATACATTTATCTTTTATTCAAATTAGAAATCAGAATGAAAATAAGGTATTAATCAATTCTGTGTAATATAAGCATGTATGAAAATTACATATTTCTGGGGATTCCTTAAATTTGCGAAAAATTAAATAGTTTGAATGCTTTTGTCATTTTAAAAACTGCAACAGAAAAGATTAAGCAAATAATATAGTTTCATCGTCAAGACCAAATGTGAAAAGTATGTAATATTTACTCAATATATGTAAGTCTTGCAAGAAAGAGGTTTCTTTTTGCAGTGCAGCATTTAAACAAGAAAATCTCGAGTGTTTCTGGTCGCAGTGAGGTACAATTACAATAGAACCTCAGCATAACCGATCAATAGAATTCTGCACCCAAATTGGAGCTATGAGGTTTCTCTTGTGAACTAAGCAATTACACTTCCTATCTTGTAGAACTTAGGAGGATCAATAAAGTGAAACGTTCGGCTCAGAGAGGCGCTAACTCCATTACGAATTATTTGGCGAACATTGCTGAGTATTTGCTTTACGTGTGTCAATAGTGATAGGTTCTCCTTAATTTATTAGCTAATGAGAGACCATTACATTTTATATTGGCCAAAAAACTTGTTCGTTGCTTTTTGTAGATATAATTCCTTTATTTGCAGATTTACACTTACCAAATTTGACACCGCTTACTCCAGATAACCATAACAACTGCAAAAGTACTATTGATGAAGACATCCACATTCTCATGTTGAATATTCAGCGTTCACACATCACAGTATTTCTAACAGAGATTTGGCCATTCTTCTGTTTTTCACACTTCAAGTGCCCATTTACTTTAACGACTGCAATGCAATTTAAATGCATGGGGGATTTATTCTCAAGAGCAAAATAGTAATGATGCTAAATACAATGATAAACACTCTAATAAGGTCCTGATACAGATAAATGTGTAATTAAGGCTCGCAACGAAACGTTTCCACGAACACAGGCGTAAAATCAATTAGGTCCATCGCTGAACAATATGAAGAACCGCTGTTTGAGAATATGGAAGCGGACATGATTATTTGCTGATTTCGGTATCAGAAACATAAAGTAGACTATCATTGGTTAATGGTCCCAACTTGTGTCTATACTTTCAACGGATTGGTGGAAATTAACTACGACACATTATTCGGCAAATGTGTATGATTGCCAAGGAATGGATTTCAATTGATTTTTTAAAGTGTAAACTTAACAATTTATCAAAAATGCGATGTACATGGACAAAATGATAATACTAGAACTGCAATTTTGTACATCTTTAAAACTGTGATAGTTTTACTTGCTACCTTTTTTGATGTGATGTGACATATCAGTTATGAAGCTAGCATTAGCCTTTTCTGGGTATCTTTTTACACTTCTCACTCATCTTATGGAATCAAGTGGACAAACAAACCTAGTTAAAATAGGTAAGTATATATATTTATTCATTTTTTTACTTTGATGCTCATTTCTAGCAGGGTTTTTAATCAAAGACAAGTTTTATTTTTTACAAAATGAATGAGTAAGATCCTTTTGTAATTACTCTAAATTTTCATTGATGATTCAGCCTCAATTTGAAATGTAGATATCTTTATATTTAGTTCCTATGATATGAAGACTTTCGTTCTGAGATGGCAATATTAATAATTCCTCTATTACAGTACAAGTAGACTTTCTGGACGATGTCATATTGAGAAAAAATAATACTCACCAACAAGCCAACTCATACACACAGTCAGTTTTATATCGATTTCCACTCCACTTCAAATAAATTTATTTACATTTAAGCCCAACAAAATAACCAGTATATTTGGTAGCGAGGATTCGATTTGGATTCTCCAGGGCCGATAGTTATAGCTATGCTTGAAATAACTCAGAACTTGTTTTGTGCTTTTTCAAAGCATGGGAGAGCTATTTATAAAATCTAGATTGGGTGACATAACTTAGCACTTTTTGCAAATGTAGCTTGTATCATGAGAAAATATTAAAGCCATTAGGCACTAATACTATGCATATAATAAGTTTAGGCACTATTACTATGCATATACTAAGTTTAGGCACAAATCCTATGCATATAATAAGTTTGGATAGCAATTTGTTTTATGGCAATTAAAAAAAAATGTTTTCAATTATCTTACAAAAAAATCAAAGCTGGCTTCGTGAACTATATTTTGTGTATTTATAATGGTAAAATCACAAGCCATAAACATGCAAATTAAGAAATATTATTATTGAAAAAATCTCATAATTTGAAATGGAATTATACAGTATTCGAGCTCAAAAGTCCATTAAACAACACAAGTTTGAGCATAGCAATGATTACTATGACCTCTATTACATGTTCTTTTTGCAAAACGCACAGTTCAACACTTTGAGTACTCTTTACAGACAATACAAAAATATTCTTTCAGGGTTCATAATTCATCAGGACTATGAGGACTCTACAAAGTTATGGAGCGCAATTCAATACAAGATGAGGAAAATGGGAGATTCGACAGACAGGTCCTGGGTTCAAATACAAGCATTAGAAGGGACCGATAACAGTTTTGACACTGAGGACATCGTTAAGCTTCATCAAGAGGGTGCGTATTGAATGCAGGAATAACTGAATTATAGTTAAGATAAACTTCTCATTTAGTTTACATTATTAGTTCAAGTAGAGAAAAAACTCACCCACTGATTTTTCTTTTATCGTTTTTTTTAATACAATAAAAAGTTGGAATTTTTTACTTCGTGAACAATTAATTGAGATAACGGACAATAATCAAAGTAGAACGTCCGTTGATACAATGCAAATTGGGAGCAGAGAAAACGCGGACTACCTGATATATCAGAGGTGAGATCAGGTGCCATGGAAGAATTAGCATCCCCTGTCGACCGGTCACACCAACCTTTTGTTGTGATGAAATTTATAAATGACCTTGTAGCAATACTGAAACGAAGGCAAAGCCAAGTCATTAAAAACTATAGAGTGATCCAACAATATATGTTTATCCTTACTATCTATGAATAATCAGGTTTTTTTCTTCTTAAGGTATCACACCGGTAATTGTTTTCACTATATAATTCTATATAGCATAAAAAATCGTTAAAAATCAGGTATTTGTTTACATGAAAAAATATTTAGCAGGAGGTGTTAAACATTACCTGTCACATTAGTTGACACCAAAAAACAGGGTACCCACACGGCATTTTCGGACTTTTTCCATCTGCAAACAGGGCTACCCTCAAATCCACGTGTTTTCACTTTGTTTATAAACACCTCGAGTGCATCACAGGAAGTAGCCTCCTATGCCCTGAAAAAAATAGTTCCTGTCAAAAACCTTTATTTATTCACAAAGTACATAAAATTTACTAGGCACAGGTACCAAAGTTGTAAAAATGGCTTGGAAGAAAATAGAAAAACGCCTCAAAAGAAAAGAAAAATAATTTTATATGTATGGACCTACATTTGACTAAGTTCATTTTGATTGGTCAATTACCGGTGTGATACCTTGAAGTGAAGTTCCCGTTTTTATATTTAAAAATAATTTAATTTCATTTGTATCAAGCAATTTCATTGGCTGAATCATTCAGAGGAACATATAACATTTTGTATAACATAACTTGCCTACGTCACAATGAGTTACGTCAAAAACGTATTACTCCGCTTGACGTTGCTTTTAAAATATAGCTCAATTTGAAGCCTTTTTCCGGAGGAAATATTGTCTCATTGTCTACACTCAAATTAAATTATAAGGAATGAAGCTAATTTCAACTTATGTTTTCCGATATAACAAAACTTGGGGCAGTTTACGCTTTCTTATAAACCGCTTCGCGGTTTATAAAGCGTAAACTGCCCCAAGTTATGTTATATCGGATAACATAAGTTGAAATAAGCTTCATTCCTTAAAAAAAACAACCTTCATTTGGCTTTTGCTTGTTCACTTGTCTCCTCATCAAAATCTAGCAAACTGTACTTCAAATGTATTTAATGTCTGTAATTTATTTAATCCTGGTAATGCAAAACTTCAATCTTTACTTCTAATTGTTTAAATACTCGTAAGGCAGACCCTACTTTTCAGTTTGTAAAAAGGTTGCTGAAGGAGCACAAGCGCTGGTGTTTGTTGGAACAGCCAAGTCAACGGCGGAAATGAACTCAATAGCAGAAAGAATCTCTGTCCCAGTCCTTATGCCTTTGTCTACAAAAAATTCCAAAACAACAAGCGAATTTGTTGTTTCCTTAAAACCGTCCCTGAACAAGCCAATCATAGAAGTCATCAAGAAGAATGGCTGGAATCGAGTCTTTTATCTTTTCGACTCTGAGGAAGGTTTGAAATAGTTTGAATTATCTCAGGTTAATGATTTGGGGGGGGGGTCTTAGAGGTCTAGTGGAAGTCACTGAATAAAAAAAATCATAGTTTAAAAAATTATTTAGATAATCATTATTTTTCTTCAAAAGGTCTTCTACGTTTACAATCATTTCTCGAAGAAATCGCTGATATGGAGTTTGGCAATGACGTCATCATTGAGTCCCGGCGAATAACTAACATATCTGATATTTACGAGTTATTGCGTACGGTGGACAGACAGTACCTGAATTGTTCTAGTCTTTACCCGTGCCCCTGCCCTAGACCAATCATCCTCGACCTATCTACCCAGGCCGCTTTCAACGAAACTCGTAAGCAGGTATCTAACATTATCAGTGAATTACTGTTTTTTACATTACTTTTTATCGACATTGAAATACATTGTTGTGCACTACGAAATGCTGCATGTACGGTCTCTGCTATTAATTTTGACAAGAAGGAAAATAGTTGTTATTTGAACAATCTGATTAGAAAATCTCGCATTTACGTTGATATTGGTATCGTATCGTAGTTAAATTAACATAACGATGTTATTTAACAACCCTATGAAAATTAAATATAAATATATAAAGCCTATAAAATATCTTTTAAAAGTCTTTGGTCATCAGAAATTCGTGTTATAATAATCAAAAAGGTAGCAAAAATCCCTTTAAGTAGCTTAACCATATCCTTCTGCACGGCTTTTCTTTCCAATCTAATTTTCTTGCACTTCAAACTTAGCATCTTTATTTTCCTTTCACTTCACGTGTACTCGTATTTACAGTTTGTGTTCTTTTGTTGACGAGGACAATATATGTTGTAAAACGTGTTCAATCGATAAATTATCAATTAGTATATTGAAATTATATGAAGATAAAGAAGTTAAGGAACAGTTTTCAAGCTTACGATTCCATAAAACAATACAAAATATGAGCAAAGCAAACACGGACCTTCAAAACTAAGAAGTGGGATAAGGTACCATGGAGGAGTGAGTATTATCTGTCGACAAGTCCCACCCGCCGTGTGCTCCTTGCCATGATCGGGAATGAATGTGTTTTAACCAACCAAAAATTTACAAGAGATTCAACGTATACACCTTTTAAAAAAATAGAAAAAAAAATAAGATTTGAATGAATATCCACTTTATATACAATTAATGGTAAGTTAATTTATAATTTACAAACATTTTACTTTTTCTGTTTACCAGAGATTTGAATCTGATTATATAATAATGATATCAAGAAGACTGTCAAATTTGTTTTTTTTATTTCACCGAATTTATGTACATGTAACATAAAGCAGACGTAGTCGTAGTCGGGAGAGACTGGTTAATCAAGATAAGATCTCCCTACAAAGCAATTGCATTACATTTACTAGAATAATGAACTTAAATCAAAGATCTTTTCTAACATTTTAGTACGAAAAGGTTGTTGACAATAATAGATGTTATTGGAGAATATCCAGTATATTTCTCATAATACGTCGAGGTACTCCGGTTTCTCTTCACGGAATTATATCATAAAACAGAAACCATAGCAGCATGCTCACAGACCTCAATTTTCTTTTAAACATTATTTTATTTATTTATCTTAAACATGATTTTGCTTTAAATTAACTTAATTTATCAAATGAGTTTAATCTACAGAGTACTAAAGGTATAGTACCATTATTGCTAGTAATTTACAAGGTGTAAAATAATGTAGTATATTTGCATTCCATTTTGAAATTCTGCAGTACTTTTATATGATGCACAAATGTTGAAATACTTTTGAAGAAAAATATCTCACTTGATTAATTAAAACTACATGTCGTGAAGTTATGAGCAGTGAGCAAGGCATATTTTCACTTTATTTGAATCGTTTAACATAGGAAAAATCTAGTATATGTAAACACAAGTTTGGTCTATGTTGACACGTTTGAAGGCATCTTCCAACAAAAAAGCAAAAAAGAGAGTAAATCCCATTAAAAACTGGTTAAACATTTAATAAAAAAATATTGTCACTAATTGAGAAAAGATAAAATTCACTCTCAAGTGTAGTTACTTGTTCATCCCATTGTTAAATACAAATTCCCACAATAAAAAATACAAACTAAACATCACGAAAGGAAATATTTGAAATGTTGACAGATTTCGTAAAGTTTTTGTATATATCTTTAACATGGATGATTACAGATTATTGATGTAGGAATGAATAGAGAGCTGTACCATTATATTCTCGCAAACTTAGTAAGTATACATTTATCTTCATTTCGAAAGTACAATATTGAGTACAATTCAAAGTTTTCCAAATCTTTTCTAAAATAATACAAAAGATATTCAACTTTTTATTTTCGGTGATTTTTTCATTTATTTATATAATTATAGGGTTCAGATGAGTTGGATCTCTCCTCCTTTAAGTTTGGTGGGATGAATGTTACTGGATTTTCTATCAAGGATCCAACTTTCGAAAAAAATATACAGCCAGGCGACTGTTATTCATTTAGTGGCCTTTGTCCAATTAATGTGAGTAAACTATAGCCAGAGCGACTGTTATTCATTTAGTGGTGTTTGTCTTCTTAAAGTTAGCATACAGAGCAGCTGTCATTTATGTCAATTTATTAGCCCTTTTAATGTCAGTATATTACTGATTTCTTTTATTGAATATTCCTGATGTTTACATAAGAGTAAATCATTACACTCAAAAAGAGTTACCACGGAGAAAGTTTAAAATGAAAATCCTTAAGAATTAAAAGACAGTGTCTTATAACATTACCTGTGTACATTTGAAATATCGATCAATTATTTTTCATCAATATCAACTTATTATTTTTTCACCAACAGCATAAACATACTTTGATTATGGACACACTGGAGTTTCTAAGTCATGCTGTAAATAGTCAGGGATTTACACAAAATAATCACCAGTCTTTGCCACCCAGCAATAGTTGTGATGTTTCAGGTTTACAGAAAACATATGGAAGGATTTTCCTACGTATAATCAAAGGCGTAAGTTAGAATTTTCCCCATAAAATTATAAGAAAATATATATTAAGGTCTAAATCATAGCATCATTCCATGGCATTAAGCACGTAAATAATTCTTTAGGTGTATTCAGGCATTCTATGATATAAGAAAATACCTTTTAATTGCAGAGTCTTTATTCATTTCTTCGTCTACAAGTTGACAACCTGTTTCAATGAAATAGGAGTGAATTATGTCCATTTTAAACAGAGTTCTTATAAAAATCATTTTTGATTAATATCAGTCTATTGGTCATAAATTAAACGCAATTGCTCGATTTTGGTGACAAAATAATCAAACGGGGATTCAAATGTATAACAATAAGGAATTCTCTTTTTTCTAGACAAAAGTGAAAAGTCCTACCAGCACTGGAACAGGAACATTAGCGCTGGATGGACACGGAAAGAGAAAGGAATACATGCTGGAAGTCAAATTCTTTACTTTCAATTCTTCAAAATTCGAGAAGGTATTTTTATCACCTTAGAAAACACAAGAAGGGAGATTACAAGTACTAAAAATTTTAATCAAAAAGACAAACCAATTATACAGAGCTTTAGATAATGAAGTATAAAGTTAAGCAAGACAAGAACATCTCTGATTAAGAATGCTATATTTCATTTACAATTGAGAGAATGGTTGAGCAAGCATTCCAAATGAGGTTTTCAATGGCAATCTATCTTTAGGCAAGAAAATCAATTAAATTTACTTTTGTTTTACAGGTAGGAATTTGGCAAGAATCTGGATTATCGACGAAGCTGGATTACTGTAATCCGTCTAAAGACCCTATACCCAGGGATAACCAGACCTGGATTATTACAACAATAGTCGTATGATATCTTTTATAGAATTGTACAAAATTGATATTGTGCTATAAATACTAGTACATGTACCTAGAACGTGTTTATAAAGTGCATTCATTTTTTAAATAAAAGATACCTTTAATAATGTGACAGAAATATCAAGAAGTATATTTTAGGTATTGTAAAATAAGCATTTAGAAATATAATAAGCTTTATACAAGTTGTCAAAGTGTATATCTATTTAATATTTATAAAATATTTGATTTTGTCTAGGGCGAACCTTTTGTACAAGAATTAAAATTGAAAGAGGGCAACCCAGTTGCACAACAGGGTGTAACCATGATCAACGGAAAATTGTATGAAGGCTTTTGTATAGAGGTAGCAGAAAAAATAAAGGAAAGATATGAACGACTGGAAGGGAAAGGCCCTGGGACTTTCAATTATAAATTCAAGTTAGTTGATGATACAAATTTTGGCAGCCCAGACAGGGACAATGGGACATGGAATGGCATGATAGGCGAATTATTGACCGGGGTATGTGTAAAGAAAGGAAACAGAAACTTAAAAATAAAGCAAAATTATTTAGCCATTGTAAATTTAATTTAAATAATTTTTGGATGGATTTTTGTATAACACTTGGTCAGTTCTTTTTTTTATGAACAAGCTATATTCCTTTATGTATCATATTGAAATTTTACAATAAAATACAATTATTTCTTGAATTTTGTGATAAAAAGAATTTAGATAAAAAGAATAAAAAGTCTGGTTGCTTAAAAACTTCAGCAATTTAAGAGCAACATCGATAAAACACAAGTGAAAGGAATGGTCTACTTATACTTAAGATTTTAATATAAAAACTAATTAATTCTTAGTATTAATTCAGAAAATCATTAAAACAAATATGCTGTAATAATGCATTTTATGTTTTTATGCAATTCATTATCAGATACCTATTTAAACATTTTCTTAATTGTATTTTACAGAAAGCTGACTTAGCTCTCGCTTCTTTGACAATCACCAGAGACAGACAAAGAGTGGTTGACTTTACAAAACCATTTATGAAAATTGGAATCAGCATTATGATAAAGAAGCCTGACAAACAAAAACCTGGCGTCTTTTCCTTCATGGAACCCCTAGATTCCATGGTGTGGGTCTGTGTCAGTCTTGCTTTTACAGGCGTTAGTCTGGTTCTTTTCTTTGTTGGACGTTGGAGCCCGTACGAATGGCGGGCTGAGGCGACAAGAAAAGAAATCTCGGTGACAAACGCTTTCACTCTGTCTAATACTTTGTGGTTTTCTTTGGGAGCACTGATGCAGCAAGGTTCTGATATTTTCCCAAGGTTAGTTAGTGATACATAAGAGAATATGTGTTGGCTAGATGGGGTACAATGATATCGCTCACTGAAACCTATTTTGCACTCACCCTTTTAAACAATTTACTCACTATTCTCACAGTGCAGTTTTTAAAACATTAATGCACCTTTAGCCTAATGTAAAGCACATTTCTATATCAATGTACTCTACTGGACAACAAATTGACAAATATGATTATATCCGAAATCTAAATAAGTATTAAGTTGTTATAAATGAGAAATCAGTGCATTAAATGGCTATCACTGAGAAAGTATCAGACCTTGGTTGCATCTAAAGACCCAAAGCATCCTGGTTTAATGTTACTTTTAATGTTGCTGGTCCAGGTCAATTTCAGGTCGGATTGTTGGTAGCGCTTGGTGGTTTTTCACTCTTATCCTGATTTCCTCGTATACCGCTAACCTTGCCGCCTTTTTAACGATAGAAAGGCTCATTCCCCCAATACGTGGTGTGGAGGATCTCGTCAAGAGTAAAGAAGTGGAGTATGGGACGTATACTGGCGGGTCTACTGAAGCCTTCTTTGAGGTACTCTGCATGTTAAAATTCAACGACAAATGGTAACGATAGGGGAGAAAAGATCAAAATTGCAGCAATCAAAGATTGTTAATTTTGTACATTCTATATGGATACCACTATCAATCTTTTTTTGGATTTTTACATAAAACATGTATCAAGACATTTTTATCATCAAGAGCCCCTAGGGCCTTTTGGTCACCTGAAAAAAAATACTAAAGGATCAAAAGTAATGTCAATAAAACAAAATGATGAAGCCATGTTGCTTAAACTCAAGAGAAGTAGAATGATTATGGTTCAACAAAATAACTAGTTTAGCTCTAGCTTAAAAAAATCATAAAAAGACTTTAGTAGCCTGTTCTTGTCCCAATTAAATACTATGAAATTATTCTCGCCATACAAAACAATAAGTTATGAGTAATATATAAGAAATCAAATCTCATTTAATCACATTGTCCTTTTTGGTTCTTCAAGAATACAAAGTATTTAATATACCAAATTAAAGTAATTTTACCTCTTTATTCACTATCTATTAAATACAACCCTGACCCATAGGTACTTGTGGACAGGACCCCCCCCCCCCCCCCCCCCCGGATATTCAACCCTGGGGCTTATTGAACATTTTTTTCACAAATTATATTTATTACACTTATTCATCATGTGTACAATATGAAAAAATCGTCAAAACCCCAAAACAATCGCTCCACAAAAAAATACCCCACTATACATTATAAGGGAGAAAGGTATGCCACTCCGGTTTGTTTACGTTGTACCACCACTGGTCTTTCTGGGTTTAAAAACATGTATTTATTTTATTTCAACCTAAAACGTCGATTTACATTGTCTCTACATATATTTCGGTCTTCGTCCATGCTATCGGGTTAACTCTGCATCTCGTAAGAATCCCACAATATCTCCTTCGACAGCATTATTTGAAATTTCCCCCAGTAAAAGCAACGGAAGTGCATAGAGAAAGTATGATAACACCCGAGAGAAATTATTACGTCAGGCCAAAACTCTCTCGGACTTAATAAGTGAAACAACTTCCGTTGCTTTTACTAAGGGAAATTGAATGCTGTCCTTTTAGCATGGACTAAGACAGAGAGACGATGTTCGACATTTTAGGTTGAAATAAAATAAATACATGTTTTTAAACCCAGAAAGAAAGTATTTAAACAAAATATACCTTTCTCCCTTATAATGTATAGTTGGGTATTTTTTTTTTTTGTGGAGCGATTGTTTTGGGGTTTTTACGATTTTTTTCATATTATACATTTGATGAATAAGTGTAATAAATATAATTTGTGAAAAAAAGTCCAATACCCCCGGGGTTGAATATCGAGGAGGGGGGGGGGGGTGGGTCCTGTCCACAAGTACCTGTGCCCTGACCATTGAAAACTTCGAAAGTATTTTTTCTATTAAATATATTATAAAAATCTTCTATATCAATTCTCTTATTCTATTGACCTTTCAATCACATTACTTAAATTATCATAGAAGAAAAGCAAAAGGGAATGACTTCTCTCATTCTGCAAATTAAGAGAGACTTAAAAATACAAGAACACTTTACAAAATGGTCTAATATGTCAAAACTCTTATAAAATAATCGTTGCTTATTTTATCTCGAACTCTCTTTGTTCCTAGATGTCAAAGAGCAGAAAAGGAGACTATCAAATGAAATATATGGAGATAATGAATAGAATTAAAGCAAAATTGAAGAGAACCAAAAGTCCATTAAACAATACAAAATAGGAGCAGAGCAAAAACAGACCTCCGAAATATCAGAGGTGGGATCAAGTGCCATGGGGGAATGAGCATCCCCTACCGACCGGACACATCCTCCGTTAATTCATTGTCATGATCGGGAAATAATGGAAAAATCCGTTGTCAATTCAGTGTGTAAATAATGTACTAACAATTAGTACGAAAAGTGTCGGTCAGCATTCAACTCAATGATAATTTGAATTTGCTGACAAGGTCATTGGAAATGATGACGTTAAACGAGACTGGTAATATTTGTATTATCAGCTTCTATTTAAAAAGTGTACATACATAGAGCATGCTCTTGCGTATCGAATCAACTGAGAGATATAAACTCCATATGCAAGTATGCAAGTGATGAAGGTGTATTGCTGTATAAGTATTAAGTATGGGAAGTTGACGATTGAAAAGTTATAAGCCACCACGTTTAAAGAAAAACCGTATAAATTTTGGAATATTTTAAATTGTTTGAAATTCAGAATTTAAAGCAGACTGATTTCTCTAGATATTCCTTTAGTGTATGAAATCGGAATACAAGTGTATTTGTTTCTTCTAGTTGATGTAATTTTTAAAGAAGAGTTACAACACATTTAAATATCTCATTTTAAGCTTTAGCTTCATACAATTGTCCTTTAAGTTAAGGTTCGATTGAGTTTTTTCGATAATCATTGATTAAGGTGGGGCCTCAGATTTGATCGAAATGTTTGAATATAATAAAGAGGGAACTGATTGTATTTTTAAAAAAGTTTTTAGGGTCAGGGTGAGTGATCGTTGAGGCCCACGTGTTTTCTTGACTTTTAAATAATGTATATAGAAAATTGAATAGTTATAAGATGGTAAACAATAAAAATTAGAGACATATTAGGATAATCGAAACAAGGCGTAATGTATCATTGTTTTTTTTTTTTGGCCTGCAGATGTCCCAGGTACCTATATACAATCAAATGTATGAATATATGAAGGCCAATGAGAAGAAAGTAATGGTTAAATCAGATGAGGAGGGGTATGCTAGAGTACGCCAATCCAAAGGGGATTACGCGTATCTCGTGGAATCGCCAAAAAACGATTACCAGAACCAAAAGAAACCATGCAACACCATGAAAGTTGGAGAAAATTTAGATCATAAAGGTTATGGAATAGCAACTGCACCAAACTCAGCTCTGAGGTATATGATATTGGAACAGAATAGTTTACTGCCAAAATAATTCAGACATAAATAAGCAAATTAAAGACATCTGAGATCAAGAAACTTATCATTAACAAAAATAACCGTTTTTGGTGTCTGATTTTCTTGACAGTCATGTTTCAAATATATTTTTACTTATAGACATAACGTAGCACAAAAACTAAAAATACGATACAACACAAAAGACCATTACAATCTTAAATCAAATAATCATGTTTTATAACGTTATACACTCACAGTGCTATAGTCCAGTCCAAATTCTGACGTGACATATCCATTGTGGATTAGTAAATTATATGTAGTAATATTTTGTTTTTATCATAAATCTAAACTATTTGATGAATGAAATCGTCAAATTGACTTATTAAATTTTTTTTTTATTTACTTTACATTAACTTGCATTCTTAAGTCATGCATATGATCTCTTCTTTAAAACTTAAAATGTCATTTTACCAACCTCATTAAGTTGACAAATTTTAAAATCTTAAATCGTTTTAAAATTTATTTTTAAAAAAATCAAGCTAAAATGAAAACTAAATGACTGTTTAACGTTACAGTGTTGCATATCATTAGGGTTTCGGACCACTGGCAATTATCAGATATTGCGACATCATCCATGTCTGGGAATCGGTAAACAGAGTATTTATAATACAGTGTATGGTATTTTGTGTATTTCTTACCGGTAAAATATAATTGTTTTCACTTTCAGAAAGGATCTAAATCTTGTCGTGTTGATGCTAAGAGAAGAGGGTGAGCTACATAAACTACAAAGAAAATGGTGGTTTGATAAAGGGGAGTGCGGTACAATGGATTCAACGGTATTGTTAAACAAATTAAAAGTCAAAAGCTTTATATTTATTTTTTAAAATATGGTTTATAGTTTAGCAGAATATATTCCAGAAAAAAATGAATGAAATAAGGGTTCAGAGAAATTTTCATTTTAATACATATTAAGTAAACTGCTGCATATTTCAGGTTTATAATCACAATACCATTAAAGAGGAAAAAAATAATCCTTTGAAGCATTAATAAACTTAGTATACCATATTCAATATGAACTTTAGTTACAATCAAACCTTAAAATTGAACAAAAACGTGATAGATGTAGAAAATTGCCTGGTCAAATGAATTCCTATTTATCTGTTTGTGAATAGTTGTTGTCTTTCAGGTCTTCGCTTTAAAGTCTTAAAGATTGATTTTTTTTCTCAACTCTGATAAATCCAGCCTACTTCAATTTGTAGAAGAACATTTTTTTTTGTATTTTCAGTTCCATTCATAAATTTTATGTTAGGTCAAATTAAATAAAATTAAAAAACTAGGTTATTTCCCTTCAAATTATTGTCTTATCGTCATGATATTAGTAATATTTCTGTATGTAAAATTGTTTCACAATGTTCATTAAAATCTGGAAAATGTAGAAAAATGAATCTTTAGTAAACAAGAAATACATGGTCTATACATATCTTGCAATAAAAAGAAGAATACTCAAAAAAGCACATAAATACACCATCTCCTGCAAATTTAAGGTCTGTTCCTCAACATTCTGTTTTATATCTCTTCGTAATAAATAAAAAAAATTATAATTCTCATGTCCTTGTTATTATAAATTGTTACAAGTACATGAATAAATATGTAAATAAGTACATCAAAAATTGTTAAATTGACAATTCCAAGGATTTTAAGTACAAAAACTGAAAAAGGATTAAATAGGAATCATTAACAAGTACATGTATCTTGCACAATTACACTGTATCTGGAAAGGCACCTTAATTCTCGTTAAGTAGCAATATCTAATTAAATAACATATTCATGGAAAAATTTATGCCATGAATCATGGACAGCGTCTTATAAACTTAATTGGAACAAACGTATGTAATTTAAAAAAAATGTTAAAGAAATAATCCGATTTTTAAGGTAAAAGAAATTGAAAAATACAGTCATTCTGGACTTGTTTAAAATTGCGAATAATTATAAACTGCGTTTTGGGAAAAAATGAAGTAATTAAAATTTCTTTGTTTTTAATAATTATTTTATTTTTTATTCATTTATAAGGACACTTCGAAGAGAGCTCTTACTTTGAGCAACGTGTCTGGAATATTTCATATATTAATTGGAGGCCTTGTTCTTTCAATGCTGGTTTCACTTGTGGAATACTCCGTAAATCGGCTACGTAAACTACACAAACTAAGATTTCAGAAGGTAAACAGACTTCTATAACAGTCCTTATATAGCAAAAGAGAAAAAAACTTGCAAAATTTGGTAATAAATAAGGAACGATATGGCACGTTTCGTTCAATATGATTTCAATATACATAATATAATACAGCAAACAGATGCTCCTAGACCTGCCATTAAGATTGAAAAGAAGAACCCACTGGAGGTACTAAAAGCAGCTGGTTACACTGGTATCTGTGATGAGGCAAACGCTGTAAGTTTTTTTGGTTATTTTTCTGCAAATAATTAGTCTTCTCAGTTATTTAGAACTTGTTTCTAATCCTTTTGATTGATATCAATAAACTATGTTCAAACAAGTCTTATCATTCATGCGCAGTTTTGAAAAGAGAAAGACATCATATAAAAGTTTGCCACGGTTAAACATTATAAATCATAAAATATTGTAAGTATAAATTGGGTTTTTTTTCCTTTTCAACTTATATGGATGAATCTACTTATAACGTTAAAGAAGTTTTTCAACTTAAAAAGTATATCTTTCTTAACTAGATATATCAGTTATAGAGTAAGTCATAGAGCTTGATAATTTTGCAACGAATGTCTTTATCACATTGCGAATTTGAATTATGATCAAAACGGACACATGATTTGTTTTTCAAGAGAAATTTGTTTTACAAGAGAAGCTTTTTCAAAAAATTGAAAACATTGCACTGAGTACATTCTATATGTAAACAAATCTTGCTTTCTTTTATTTTTTTGAGACCAAGGGACTAATTCCAGAACTTGCGAATGGACATGAGTTAAAATTAAGTCTTCGAATATCTTGATTTAAATTCAACAAGTTTGAAAAGACGGAAGTTCGCAAATTTTTCAAATACACACTATATAAATGAAAGTAAGCTTTTATTTTCATTATTACCGGTACATGTATTTCAAAAGTTACACAAATTTGAAAATTTGACTGAAATATGTTTTCAGTTTATTAAGACTTGGTCTTTCAAACTTGATATGCATGGCTACGGTAAATGGGCATTTACAGGCTTGTGAGACATGCCACAGTTAAATGTTCTGCACAAAGCTTTTTGGGAAAAAATGCTAGAGAAATGTGCACGATCGAATTTGTAAAAAAAAAAAAAGATTGCTCCCCTTTCCTAAATGTTTAATTGCTGGTACATAGAATATAGTGAATCTACATAATACATGTGCATGACGCCTCTAGCTAAAAGTTTATACATAAATCTTTCGCCATCAGTTAATCTTCATGCTGAGAATAAAAACACGTTCGAAAAGAATTATTTCTTTAAAATTAGGAAAAATGTTGTAAACTTGCAGGCCAACTTTATGATTTAATAATTTTAAAAATTTTTTAATGGAATTAAATTTATTATATATTTATCCCACGGGCTAAGGTACAATAAAATCAATTCAAGATTAGAGTTGATACTGTATTTAATTATGTTTTTTTCCCTTTCAGTATATATTCAATCCCCCAGAGCAACTCACAACATTTGAAAGCGGTAAAAACACAGAACTTTAAAGAAAATAAAAATCTCTGTTATAAAATAGTAGTAAATATATTAATCATTTTTCGGATGACTTTATGATTTCAATGTAGATTTATATTTATAGAGTGTAGATAAGTAACTCATCAAATACTAGTATCATTGTCCGTTTCATTTCATAGAATACATGTGTATATTTGTACAATTCACATACAAAAAGGCTGAATATATATGTACGCCTTCTCTAAGTATTACTATTCATTTTGTTTTTAACTGAAATATTATCAGTTATATTTTATATATGCCTAAATAAACACTTACTCTACTGTATGTTCATGCTTTCATAATGTCATTTGTATACATCCTTCTGTAAATTTTTACACTGTTGTTTGTTGAACATATTTGTACATGTAGATAAACTTTAGAGAAAATCTATTGCTTTGAATAGAATGAGAATGTATTATATGTTTGCATTATATTTAAGTGGCAGTTATTTTCAAAAAGAAGAAAACCAGTCATCAATTAGAATATCAGATGCATTTATCGAATCATGTTTGCAGCCAATTAATTTCGAGGTATCTGATTTTGACGTTGCCATTAATAGTATATATATTTACTTAGCATTTTTCAGCACTTAGAGCAGACCGTATTTTATTTCGATCACCACTGTCTATAATCAGAGATCTAAGTACTCCATCATGATGTCATCGCTAAGACAAGCGTTTATCCACTGATGAATTCGCCGTTCTTGTTTTATTGCTTTGATGGATCACCATTAAAGGCCGAATCTGTATTTTGCTTTTTTTCCACTGATCGCTGATTACTTTTGTTTGACTGATGTAGTTGACAGATTCAATAAACTGGTCAATATGTTCTTTCGTCTTCTTCGTTTGCTGCATGCTTTTGATTGAGATAACATCAAAATGAGTGTTTGGACAGTGAACCAGGAAGACGGATAGTGGGGTTAGTTCCATGTTAAAATTGCAACACTCTAACAGACAGTATGACATTGAGTTGTTTTCGCGATCTTTAAAATGATGAAAACATTTATTATTATAACAGAACCTTACTGATGAATTTAACAACTGGCTAAAAATAATATGTTAAATTATAGATTAAAAAAAATACATTTTAAATAATTCAAATAAGGTGAACGGTTCTTGCATGTTTTATCTTTATAGATAATTATCGAGTTTTTTTTTGGCAGAGGGGATTTAAAGTTTATTTCCAAAAAAAAAATTATAATGAAGGATATGAAGATAACGAACAGTATTCAATATCAAAGTCCATAGAACAATACAAAATAGGAGCAGAAGAAACACGGACCTCCAAAACATCAGAGGTGGGATCAGGTGCCATGGAGGAGTGAGCATCCCCTGCCGACCGGTCACACCCGCCGTATGCTCCTTGTCATGATCGGGAAATAACGGAAAAATCCGTCGTTAATTCAGTGTATAAATAATAGACTAACAAATAGTATGAGTATTTGAAGCAATGATAAATTGTATTTGCTGACAAGGTCATGGTATCGACCATAGAACTTACGAAATGATGACTTTAAACGAGACTGCTGATAGTATTGTTTCATCAACTTGTTTGTAAATAATTTATCTCGTTTTAGAAATTGTTCATACGTAGAGCATGCTCTAGCGTATCGAATCAACTGAGATACTCCGTATGCAGGTAATGAAGGTATATTGCTGCATAGGTCAGGGAATTTGACGATAAAAAAGTTAATTTAAAAGTGATCATGATTATCATAGAGCTTGGTTGTTAGATTACCATTAGTGTCTTTTTCAAGTAAAATATCCAAGTATGAAACAGATGTGTCAGACTCTGTGGTATCTTTTATCTCAAGCTCACAAGGATATATCGTATCGACATGGGAATGGAAATTGAAATTGTAAATTATAAAACTTCATTAAAAAGGGGAAAAAAACTTTGGCAAGGTATTAGAATATCCTTAGGTCTTGCTACTTAGTTTGGAATTATTTTGACCAAAAATTCCATATTATATACCGAAGGTTTGTCCTTCTTTAAATAATAAATAATTTGGTTTTGCGGTTTTCAACAGATAATCAATTTATCCATCAACTTGCCTTACTATGTAGCTATACATGTACATGTGTAACATTATTACAATGTACCGCATATGTAATGTATGCCTCTTAGTTGATTTGATACTCAAGACCATGCTCTATAAACAATTTTTAAAGCCAAACAAGCTACTGACATATAAGCAGTTTAAACAAGAATATCAACAGTCTCGTTTAAGGAGGTTCGATCCTGAGCTTTTGAACAGATTTTGGTCTGGACCTTTATTTCTAAAATTCTGCATCATTTTTAAGTTCCAACATTAAATCTGGTTTCTATAATGCAAATGGAACTAAATTCAATAAAAAAACTGTGATTAAATTCCATTCAAGTAAGATTAAACCAGGAACTATATCTTTTTTTTTTAAGAGAAAATGATCAATTTTTCCCTTTTGAACTATATACAGTACTGTTAATTTTAGATTCCTATTTTTGCATGTTGGTTGTACACGAAGCTGTTTTTGCAGTGAAATGTGTTATGCTGGTTCTGAAATATCTGTTAAATTATTTCTTATGAATTCTTTCAACGAATTATGACTAATATGGTAAATATATTCTAAAAGTCCAGGAAAAAAATTGATTAAATTTTAACATAAAATTGACACTTTTTAAATAATATCTAAAAATTTACATCAAGTACCCCCACTTCTGATGTTCTTTTTTGAATATTTCAGATAACTTTGACCTATCTGCTTAAAGTCAGCAAAAAGTTTAAGAATTTAAAACAATTTTAAAATCACAATTTGTGAGTGCAAAAAGGTCAAATAATTGATTATGCAAAGCGATCAGAAACCTTTTCTTAGTCAGAATTTCAAAGTGTCTTTTTTAAAATAGACTGTCTTATAGTTTATATGTTTCATACTTTATTTGAATAAAAATATTGGAGGGGAAACACAAATTTCAGTGCAAAACGGTCATTTAAAATGTACTGTAGCGCCAAAAAATAAAACAAATGGACCCCCTTTTTTAGATTTGATCTTTAATTACTCTAATCTATGTGTGTAGAAACTAAACATATACCTGACGAACAAAAGTTTAAGACTTTAAATATCAGGAGCCTCGTTAAGTCAACATTTTGCTAAATCTATGGTCAATATATAATGACCTTTTCAGTCAATTTTATCTATCATTTCGTCGAATGTTGACTCACGTTTTTCATACAAATTGTTGGTCCATTAATTTCACATAGAATTATCTACGGATTTTCCCGTTTACCGAGAAGTATGAAACGTTTTAGCTTTGGCCTGTCAAAACGGAATGCTTACTACGCTATGGCAAGTAATCCAATCTCTGATGTTTTAAGAGATCCGCGTTCGCTCTGCTCTTGATTTTTTGTATAATTTTGTTTGACTTTTGAGCACGATTGCTGTTTGTTATCTTCTTTTATGAACAGGGATGTCAGATAAGTCATCTGGGAGTTTGACATTTTTATACACAATATTTTTATTTCTTTTCAATTCTGCTATTAAAAAAATACTTGGCACTTCATGTAGCTATCGATTTGATATTATCTTTATAGCTTCTTTAGTAGGCTCAACAAATATTTTGAAAAAAAGGGGCAATTTATTCATAACTGTATCATAAATATGTTAAAGATATGGGTTTCAAAATTGATGTTTTGTGTTAACCATCATTTTTTCCATTAACTGTGGAGTAGCAGTATAATGGTCACTTTTCTTCGCTTGTCTCGGAAAAGAGGATGAGATAATGAAATCTTATCCCTGCTATTGGATAGAAGAGAGTTTACAAATAAAATCATGTAAATGTCTCAACAGACTACAAAACAATCATAAGACTGAGAAGTTTCATTCAAGAACACAATAAGCCCGACTTAACGTCTTTGATGCAAAATATTCGGAGAGTCGGCGGTGCGATTGGCATTCATTACGGCGATTACAGAAAGTGTGAAGACGTATTATTAACCTATCACGGAAGATTTAAGCGGCTTCAGTATGAAGGCGGACAGACTCGGAGATCAATACTAAATCAGTGTCCCAAAAATGTTCCAACAACCGCCAGAGGATACAGAGTAAGAACGTCTCCCCTTAATAATTAAAGGCTAGAAAGCTTGGAAAGGGAATACGGAATTTATCACATAAAAATGTAAGACTGGTTAGAATTAGCATGCATCGTAACTTTGAGAAAAGAGAATTGGTTTTTGCAGATATGTGTCCAAATGTACTTTAAAACTAAAAACCAAGCTGATAGCAATGCACAGTTTCATTCATGCGTTGATTCGATTTATGAACAACGTGCGAGCGATATCTAAATCTAGGTCAGCTACTGGCAAATAAGTAGATAAATCAAGGACATCAACAGTTTCGTTTAAAATCAACATTTCGCAAATTCTATGGTCGATACAATGGCCTTATGAACAAATACAATTTGTTATTACGTTGGATGTTGCTTGACATTTTTCATACTAATAGTTAGACCCTTATTTACAAAGTATTATAATTATATATTTTTATCATGAATTATATCGATGCATGTTCACGATATTTTTTTTATTTTCACAAGGAGTACATGGCGGGTGAAATTTTTTTCGTACAAATTGTAGGGCCATTATTTACATGAATTGTCTACCGATATGCCTTCGCCTCAAATGCACCTGATCTCATCCTTGATGATCTGAAAGGCCCCCTGTTTGCTCTGCTCCCATTAATTTTTTATGTATACTGAGCTTGATTATTCTTCTTTATCTTTATATTACATTACAGTGCATTGATATGCACTTAGATGTATCTAAGTGAACTCGAAATAAATGACACCATACATGCATATTCTGCCTTATCTGTTTCATACCTAGGAAAAAATGTATAAATATTTGTCGAAGGAATGCAAATCAACAAAATCAAGCAAAAAAAAACAAAAAAAACAAAAAAAAACCAAAAAAAAACAAAAAAAAAAAAACAAGAGAATTCCTCTTTTCAAGTAGAAATTTTGATTAAACTAAATTCTGCTCTATATAATCCAAAAAAAGATCTGATAACGATTAATAGCTGAAACTTGATCAATTAATCGGAGTTCCGAATTAAAAAGCAAAAAAGTTATTTCTCACGCGGAAGATTTCGAAGAAAATCTTCTTTATAAGAAAATAAAATAAAGGGGCTAAGCGAGGAATACACTTTCACTCATTAAATAGTGCAGCTTGTTTTGAAGATTTGGCTTCATAACCGTTTAATTGGAACATACCGAAGTTAAAAATTCAAAATAAATTACAATGTTCTTTTGAAAAAATTAAACAATCATGTATTTTTATCAAATCTTGGTATTTTATATTATAAAAAACCTTTATTTGTTGAAATATTTCATTGAACTTGAGAAAACATATTGAGAATCAAAAGTTTGACTCAAGTCTTTTCTTTGTTTATGGTCCAGAGAAGTAGTTTTCAAAGACTGACTTTGGCAACTAAGAAGTTCAAAAGATTTTTAGTATCAGATTCGATGTAATTTGGGAATCAGAAAGATTTTGAACGATTTTCACAGATAATATAGATCATAAAATATAAAAATATTTGAGCTGCATTTTTATCAAGTCAATCATTCTACGAAATTTTTTTTTCTGCAGTGTTTGTCAAATGAAAGTTTATCATTTATTTTTCTTTGGTCAATTGCTTTATCTGATACTCTTTTGGCCTATCGTCTTGAACCTCAAAGCCATATTATGATGTGTTGTAAAATGGACTCTGCAATTGTGAACGTTTACAACCAAGCTTATATGCTCTCATTAGATACCCCAAACGAACACGAGGGATTACATTGAAAATGTTCCAATTTATTTCTTGCAGATGGCTTATGAAGTATTAATGAAACTTCACAGCTATAATATAATTAACAGGTGAAGTTTTACATGCAACCTTGCAATGGACAGAGAGGCGTAATGCAGTCAACAATTTTAGCTATTGCTTATAATTTACATCGAGTTTCAATTTTTCTTTTTTTTCCCCAATTTACATATCTAGAATTTGTTTAATAAACAGATTCATTCACCAGTTATACTACCGACAAAGGGTGTAAGAACGACACAGGCCCATATGTCCAGGTGTGTCAATTGAGAAACCATACACTATAGTCTGCAACACCCATTAAAGCTAAGCTTGTCTTTCATTATCTTTTGTAATAAATTCGAATACATTAAATCTTGCTTTCACAAAAGCATGATTTGAAAAGCAAAATCCTGGAAATGTGGTCTATTATCTACAGCCCACAACGTAAAATCTCGCCAGCATTTCCTATCTGTGTTTATCTCATTAGTCAGAAACTGATCGTCACAGTTGGAAGATTAAAAAGGAATGTGATATTCAATTTTACGCTGAATTTTTATCCATTTTCTCCGATATTTAAGTGATCTGATACGAAGCATACCTAATGAAATTACCCAAACGTAAGCATATTTGATAGTCAATAAAAAGACGTTCTTGAACTGTCAGCAATGACAAAACCCATCTGATAGCTAAGTCTACATAATCTAAGAGAGTTTACAGCGTGTTACCAATTTACTTGAACAAATACAATCCGTGTAGATATTGCATTAGATTGCGATTTCTTGTCCCTCTACATAGCCTGAGCAGGCATTCAATCGACGAGCGAAGATATTTCTGTTATCTTAAGAAATAGAAAAATAGGAACCCGCGGAAATAATTCCAATGATTTTTGAGAAGAGGGCGAAAAGCTTCAGATCGATTTGTCTTTAACAAAAGAGAGCAGGCTCTCCAATTTAATTTCTTTTTCCAATTTTTGCTTTTTTCCGAATTTTTCAACGTTAATCTAGTTCCCCAGATGATGGAAATCCTGTTAAATTGCTTCCGCCTGTGTCGTGCATCATTATATCTTAAAACGCAGATAAGACTACGCTCGATTGCATGTAAATTGCCGAAATCCTGTTTCTCAAAGCTTTCCTGGTCACGAATTCTTTTACCACAAATCTTGGTACAATTAAAGATTTGGTTCTCCAAAATTGGGTTCCTCAAGATAAGTACTAAATGTGCATCCTTCTGGTGTTTAGTTTTTGTCAAATTTCTGCATGTATGTATATTGAACTGTAACATCTTATCAAGACCACAATAACCATATTTCAGTTTTTCGGCAATTTAGCAATAGTCTGTGAGGCTCACAAGACAGTTCATTTGCTTTCTTTAATTGAACCGTTGGTGTGGAGCTATGTAACAGTGTTGTTTTATTTCCGTTTAATTGGTTTGGCATCGTTGGTCGGTTTCTTTCTGAAAAACAAAATATTAACACATAGCTTTTATTCTGGTAATTAGTACAGAATCCCATCACATGCAAATAAACAACATTTCTACGAAGGATTGGGACAAAGGCCGATTAAATTTTGTATGTTCTCATTTTTTTTTAAATACAGAAGCTGATGAGTGCTTCGTAATATTTTTAATTCGAAATCCAAACTTTAAATTTTTTACATTAATCTTGGCTTTCCGCACTTTAGATTCAAACTTTATAATTATAATTTTTTTTTCAACTGTAATTTTAGTTTTTCCAACTTATAAATTGTTTATTCCATCTTTAATCTGGGATTTTCCCAACATTTAAATTGGTAATTTTATCTTTAATCTTTCTTTTTCTGATTTAAGGGGGTGTGCTTTATTCATGTATGTTATTGTAAGGTCAGAGGGAAGGTGAAGGTAAAAAATATTTGTATATAAAAATTTATTTTAAAAAAAACGAAAGAAGGGGTTAGAAAAGCTCAAATTAAAGTTAAGAAGACAAGATTAAAGTTGAAATTATCAGCACCTTTAAAGATTAAAAAGCAAAGATTATAGATGGAAAAGCCAGGTACCAATTCTTAAGTTGGATTTCCCAATTATTAAGTTGGAATTTCGAACTTAAAATTTGAAAAGGTCAAGCTTAAAGGTAGAAAACCCGATATTAAGGCAGTGATTACAAACTTCAAAGGTTAAAAAAAAACTTCATATAAATTTGAATTTCCAACTAAAAAAATATCATGAGGCAGAAGTACGCTTTCTCGTAAAACTTGTTACCTAATTCTTATTTCAGAAAGTAAATGATTTAAAACTTCATAGGGAAAGGGAACCATGAACTATTACCGACGATATTCCATTAAGTTTTTTAAAAAAATATTATCCTTAATTTCAGATAAAGATTTTAAAAAAAATCCCCCCAAAATGGAAATATTTCGCTTGACAGACTCAATGTTGTGGAAAGTGGTATAGATAATCTGAATAAAAATATGATTTCGTATTTAATAGTTGTAATTGTTTTATTAAAACATCTTATATTATATAATGGGCTTCCCTATTTCTTAGTGATTGACACTTAAATATCTTCTACTAAAGTTTCAACAGAGGGTAATACCTTCTTAACAAAGTGACATCTTGTGTGATCTCTGAACTATTTTTCATCAATGGTTATCATTACGTCAGAATGCATTGGTGAGGAATACATAGAGATACCAGTGGATTTATTGATTGATTAATTGTATGTTGTTTAACGTCCCTCTCGAGTATTTTTCACTCATATGGAGAAGCCACCACTTGCCGAAGGACCGGTCATCGTGTCCTACAGTAGGATTCGAACCAGTAGGATCAACTCCTTACTTCACAACTCTTAGGAGCAGACGCCCTAACCAGTGGAGGGGAACGCGATGAAAATTATTTAATACTATGATTCTGTCTTATTTATACGCACATATGTCTTATTTCGGGTTCTAATAATTATAACTTAAAAATCTAAATATCGGTAAAAAATCAATGTTTTGGTATTTATGAGGATAGTAACTCACAGGCAACCTTAATAATGCTAAAATAAGCAAAGTTGCAGCCTTTGAAAAATAATAATAAACGTTCCTCATTTGAAAAGACAGCGTGAGAAATAGTGAGGAGACAGTGAAAAATCAATCAACCAACCTATCTGGAAAAAAAATGATTCACAAATTTTTCCATATTCTACATTATATATCAAGTGGCACACTTTGTCAAGTAATGGTTTCTGTGATCCTTCCCATTCCTATTGGAAATTCCTCTAAATCTTAGTAAGGACAGAAAGACAAATTTCACGGCACTTCAATGTCATTTTTACAATCCGTGAAGCCATATTTTGTATTTAGAAGCAAATTGGATTACACCATGGAGCTGCGTTTTTCTTATGGGAGAGATGCAAGAAAATAACAACCATCGGAGACATCGGGTGCTTGTTTGAAATGTTTGTCATTTTTACGATTTCCATTGTGAAGTTCCGTTTGTCCTACCGCGGAAAAGATGATATAGAAACTGATCAATAACTCGGATTATTATGGACTGAAGTTCTAAGACTGCGTAAAATTGCTCAAACTCTGACCAACATCGGAACCAAAGGATTTCTTAGATTTAATGTCTGAGAATGCATTCTTTTTTAGTTATTGTGTGTGCATTTTTGTTCCAGTCTATGGATTGTACGGAAACAGGGCCATATCAGCACGGCTTTCCTATAGGTAGGTTTAACCAAGTTTAAGAAAGTGATTTTTTTTTCCTGCAAAATTGAAGAAAATTAAAGTTGAAAAAAATATTAAATTTAACAAGCTTATTTTATTGATGCTTGGATTTAACGAAAGACCCGAGAATGAAATGGAAATAAATGCTTGACTTGATTTATTTATTTTTTTTTCTTTACGGAAAATATAGAATGTTTTAAATATTCAACTTCTTTGTACCTACTAGTGATAATTATTCAGTAAGATTTAAAATCTTTTTTTTTTAACTTTACTTATCCAATGATAAAATGAAAGGATAACGATCAGTGATTGATCTTATAAAAACTTCAAGCAATACAATATGTGAACACGGACTCCTGGAAATTTAAGAGATGCGATCAGGTGCCTAAGAGGCGTAAGTATCCCCGGATGACCAAACTTGCGTCAGCCCCATGTTTTGATTTAGATGACGAAGTCAGTTTTAGTACAAAAAACAAAGGTCTAACAATTGATATGAGTCAAAAAACACGAAAAAGTGAAAGTGTTAATATTTGTTAACAATCCTAGTTACAATATTTCCTCCTCAGGTGCCATATTTGATTGGAGTGATGTATACGCCCGGACTGGATTCCACTACGCCATGAATAAGATACTACAACAGAAAAAGAACCAATTTAACTTCTCCACAATTATTGAGGACGTCTCCATACACGATAGTTTCCAGCTGATCCAAAAGAGTAAGCTTTACGTTACCCTTAAACGTGTTTATATAATAAAGGATATATACTTTACTTAACCTTTATCTCTTATTTTATAGTCAGCTCATACCTATTGATTCTTCCCAAAGTAGGTTTAACTTTAAATTTTCACACGTGTGTATCATGCAAATGATGAAGGTTTTATTTATCCTTCGTTTATTTTATATATATAATAATTGATGTTTATTTTAAGTTACAAATTTCAGCCAAAAAGATTACAGTCATTCCAAATTTATAAAAATCTAATCTGAATTTAAGAATAAAGTGTCTGTCTTGTGATCTTTTGAAAATAATAAAAAATAAATTATATATTCTGAATATTCTACATGACCTCTTTAGAACAATTATTAGAATCCCAGTATTATTGCCTTAAAGGTAAACAACATGTATATACATCGTATATTTACATTTTATATATCCAAGAAAATTTTTTATTATCTTATCCTTTATAAAAGAGATGAGAAACTAAATATTAAGGTTTTATTCTACCAGTGCTGTCAAAACCCTATTCTGCATTAATTTCTTATTAGATTTTCAGGAAGAATCGTGATAATTTACGTAATGCAATACTAGTATATCAATGAAATATTTATCAAATCTTGTGTTAATACTAGAGCAGAACATGAGAAGATAATATATGTTAAATTACTATTTGTACTTTACAAGGACAGCCAACCGCCAAAACATGATTTGACAAAGACAATGTGCATTCACATAACAGCATACATTTTTTCATTAATTCCAGGCAATATCACACATAATCTGTGTTTGCCTCTATACTTGCAAGATGTATGACTCGTTTTAAGCTTTCAATTGATTAGTTCGGTTGACCTGATTTAAATAAAAACAATTAATGTCTATCTCAATCCCTAATTGATGTTTCCATTAGAATGATGTGTTGGTCTGGATAATTCAAAGAACATCAGATGCGGGATCACAATTTATAGGAAGAAAAAGCATTGAATCTACAGGGGAACCTATACAATTATAAGACAAATGCCCGTCCATCACAGAAAAAAAGTACTGATGTATTTGACACGTGCTTATTTTCCCTCCAGGAAGATTCAAACAAATAGAAACATTAACCTTCAAGCATGAGAAAGACATATTAACCATTTCAATTCTAAACTAGAAATATCCCTCTTAGCATGGAACGGTTCTATTCTGCACAGTAGAATGACTGTCTATAACACATCTGCAAAAAGCAGTGTATTAATTAAAAGCGTGACTATTCAGAAGCATTCCCGAAGGACGCTTCACCGCTACCATTCCATTCTTCCGCAAAAACGATCGGAAGAACTTTTTCGACGATACCAAAGGCATTTTGCATTGTTTAGTTCACTTCAATGAGCCTGCTTCTAATGCCACTCAAATGACAATAACAGTGAAGAAGTGAGATATACTTCTTAATTCCAGTTCAAAACCACGGGATCCTGAATAACAACGATTTGAACTACATGTAGTGCAACAATATGGAACGTAAAATAAACATTCAAAACTACGGAATTGTACCTATCTTCAACCCAATTGTGTATTTATCACCAAATGAATTGAAGATAGGTTAATTTCAAGTGATTAATACATCGGTTAAATTGAATTGAACCTAGGTAAATTGATTTATACTATTTTTAAATCCTTTATGGAAATGTATCATTTATGCCTTTCTTTCCGTCATTTGTACCTACCTTTAATTAATTTGAAGATTGGTATATTTTTTTAATTTGTAGCTAGCTTTATTTTATTATTTGTACCTTTCTCTCCAAATAAGTTGAAGATAGATTTGATTCAATTATATACCTACCTTTAATTAATTCGAAGACAGGTTCAACGGATTTGAAGCTAAATTGAATTACTCCACAATATGAAGATAAGCATAAATTGATTTTAAGATGGGTGCAGTTGAATTCAATATTTGAACGTAGATTCACATATTTGTAGATAGGTACAATTACTTGAATAAATGTTAATTTGGCATTCCATCGAAAAATGAATCGCTTTAATTTATTACACATATATGTGTACAATTAGAATTTGATGGTTGGTTTTAATTTGTTTGCATGAATATACTTACACATAATATATGCAATTTGACACCATTTTAATACCAATTGTGATATAAAAGAAGAGAATTTACGGAACACTAAAACGTCAGACACATTTCAAGGTTTCATGATATTTTGACCCCGTAAATAATTTTTTTTAAGAATCACAGAATATGACAGTAATACTTGTATGTATCAAAATGATGTAGATTACCAATGTTGTGATATATAAACCGAAAACTGAAAGGCGTTTGTCAATCGAAGACATAAATGTGTTTAATTTTATCATATACAAAAATGAATTTCTTAACTTATCTTTAAACAATTAACTGAACGTTGGCGTCCTAGCACTCTTACAAAAATACTATAAACAGTACGACATTTAACTCTGGACACGACATAGTCCAGACTTTTTACTACCATTTCTAATTATGATATCCAAAATATTTTTATATCACTTGGTGGGATTTCTTAGCAGTATCCCAGGGGCTTATGTTGAGCTAACAAACATCTCAACTTCTGAAGATATGAAGTCCTAAAACTTAGAATCCCATGAGAGAATGGTGGGATTTTCAATTCCATCAGCTATCCCACCATTCTCCCATGGGAGAAAAAATGTCAAATGGGATATTTTCTCCCATTGGAATTTTTTCCCCCACAAATTTGTTCAAATGGGATAAATCCCACGGATATTGACAATAAAACAATTTCTCCCATACATTGTAAAACATGAAATATATGCCATACAGTATGGCAATGACAAATTTCTCATCATAACATATAGAAAAAAATATTTACCAACTAAAACAATGTAGTGGAGAAAATTATTCATTGTCAACATCCGTGAGATTTATCCCATTTAAACAAATTCAAGGGAGAAAATATCTCATCTGACATTTTTTCTCCCTTGGGAGAAACGTGGGATAGTTGGTGGGACTGAAAATCTCACCATTCTCCGATGGGATTCTGAGTTTTAGGACTTCATATGTTAGAAGTAGAAATGTTTGTGAGTTCAACATGAGAACCTGGAATACTGCCAAGAAATCCCACCAAGTGATATTAAAATATTTTGGATATCATAATTAGAAATGGTCTTAACTATAGTTAACTACAGTAAACTATAGTAAATCGAGGTCAAAGTTGTCTACATAGTAAATCAAAGTTTTCAAAATGTTCACTGTATAGTGTCATAGTTATCACTTAAGTAAATCAAAGTTTTCCATAGTAAATCAAAGTTTCCATAGTGATCACCATGGTGAATCAAAGTTTTCATAGTTATCACTATAGTAAATCAATGTGTCAAAGTGTTCACTATACCGGTAGTAAATTAAAGTGTCAAAGTGTTCACTATAGTAAATCAAATTTTTCAAAGTGTCAAAGTGTTCACTATATAGTAAACTATAGTATTTTTTGTTAACTGAGTACGGATCTTGAATTGCACGTATTATAAATAGTGTGTGAAAGAAAAGCGAAAGGTCAACAAAAAGCCGTATGTCAGATTTGGTTTTTCTCACATTAAACAGGCCAACCTGATTCCAAGAGAACTTAATTTATACCTCGGTAAAGATCTACATTTATTGACACACCCTGTCATTGGACAGATGAACGTTGACAAGATACATGTTTGAACGCCCCGAAAATAATTTAGAATCCTCATGAAGTTCATCATGACAATACTTCATGTCTGGCAATTGCTCAAGAAATACATATTATTTGGTTGATCAAGTTTTCTAGATTCATTTCCTTACAAGTTGCTAATAGTGATAACTATTAAAGGAAAGGAGACCATGATGCATCTGATTGTCGATAAGGAGGCCAAAAACTACGCGGTTGGGAAGGGCTGGGTGGGGACGGCGCCCCTTTGTCTAAGAAACTTTTAAGTCTTTGCGCTTTATCACTTATTTTGTATTGGATGCTGCATGTATGATGAAATATGCGAATTCCAGTATTTGATATTTGAAAATTGATATATTGAAAAGTACCTGTACCTCACTCCAGTCAAAATACTATTTTTAAGTGTGGACAATTTTTGTTCTGTTGTGTTCTTTCAAAACAATTTTCCCAGGTTGGCCCAAAACTTCGAAAACCCATGCTAAGGGCGTGATGATTATATACAACCTTTGAAATCTTATTTCTGTTTCTGGTGCATTTATTTTTATGCACTTCGCAAATTCCAAAGAGATATGAAATCCAATTTTTTGAATTGAGCTGGGAATTCATATCAAAATAATATCACACCATGCTCTGGTAAAAAATCATCAAACCTAGATATTGAACACAAACCTTTGCTTAGTACACTACATAAAGATAACGAATTGTATTCAAGGGCAAAATTCCATTCGAAAAAAAACAAGCAGAGCCATACACGGACCTCTAAAACATCAGAAGTCGGATAAGGTGCCATGGAGGAGTGAGCACCCCTGTCGATCGGTCATATCGGCTGTATGCTACTTGTCATGATAAAAAAATACGGGAAAGATCAATCCATAGTGTAAAGAATGGACTAACAATTGTGTTTGTCCTTCTTGTTTAAACAACAAATTGTTTGTCAATACCTTACCTAGTTTAAGAAATTATTCGTACGTAGATCATGCTCTTACGTATCGAATTAACTGAGAGATATAAACTTCATATTAAATAGATTTCAGAAGAAGACAAAATATATCAACTTGTAATCATTTTATTCCATATTTACTTGCCCTGTAGACCTTTGACAGTTTTTGCTGGTAGCGAACGCAGAGCAAAGGGATATAATCGCATTTGAAAAGATATAAGATGTTTTGATGACTTGATTGTGCATGTAAATTTTTGCACTGAGTTGAAAAGTAGATTGGCATGTATATAGGTAAAACTGACTCACAGTAGTCCTGTACATCTATATTTTATTGACTTGACTTGCAATTAACAGATAATTACCGAAAAACAAATGGATAAAAG